ATTAATTATTTCAAAAGGTTTATACATTAAAAACTAAATGGACTTTTGTTCCCTTGTTGCGTCCCCTGTTGAACGTCGGCATCAACTTCAGGAACATAAACATTTGGTTAAAAATTAAGTTTTTAATTATAGAATAACAATATTTTTTAACAAAATTCGAACTAACGGAATAAAAAATATCATATTTGAATGTTCAAAACTTTGGGGACATGATTTTTAATATTATACAAAAATAATAAAATAATTAAAAAATCAATAAAGCAATTTTTCTGAGACGCTTGCTTCAAAAATAAAGATATTATCTCTCTGTGTGTCAATTATTTTAATTATGGATGAAGAAAAATGGGAATAAAATCAATACAAAATGGGTATTGGCAAATATTATATACGGCAATAAGTGTTTCAACATTATTGACACCTTCTTATTACGGCGTGTCACGTGTGTATTGTTAATGTATAGAGAAAGGAAAAAGGCAGAGCTTCATGTACACTGTCACATTATAATCATGAGGGTCGTATGAGTCACGAGGAAACGGAAAAATTAGCATAAGAAATGAGATCTCATTTCTAGAAATTCAACATACATCTATATAAAAATTACTATTTTTTTCAATACTATTAATATTAAAAATTTTTTATGTTAAATTATTATTAGTGTAATTATTATTGTATGAATAAATGTATGTTTCAATTAAAACTTTGCTGCAGATGATCAAATTCTTTCTTTAAAAGCAAAAATTTATTATTAAGTAAACCAAAATGTTTATTTAAATTAAATAAATATTTATTTAGTTATTAGACAAAAAAAAAACTTTTGCGAAAAATATACAAAATTTTGCAAAGTTCCGAGAAAAAGTAATTGCCAAAGTAGAGAACCCTTTTGAAATAGAACACCTTTAACACAGATCCTCAGACGTGAATCGTGTTAAAATTGGACGACCACTCGGCCAATTTCAACCAGAACGGATTATGACAGAGAGTTGTCTCTTTAGTCTAAAAGCCACATGATTTGCTTCAAAGTTTATTAAAATTCGTCCCAAAAAATAATTGGAACATGAAAAAATTAAATATAAAATTACTAATAAGTTGCAAACTTCAACAAAGTAGAAAAATGTGCAAACTGACAATAAGAAAAATCTGTCTTATTTATTTTCACTATCCACACAAATGATATATGTAATTAACGTTATCGACTTGAAACATCTTCGAGCAAAATTAACTTCTGCGGTAATTAATTTCACTATAATTGTATAAGGAGAGATTAGTTTAAATTGATATAAGCTTCACAAACTTGAGAGAATGAGGAGAAAAAAAAACTTGTAGATTACAAGTAAAGATTGAGAAAGATTCAAAGACGCACACAGTGCATTGAGTCTTTCTCGTTTGGAATCCAGGAATAGATGAGAAAAGATCGCGTGAAGAAAACGAGAATGGCACCGACCCTTGAACGATCTTGTCACAATAAATAAAAGTTAAGAGTTTGTTGATAGATTTCTTTATAATATTAGACACTATCGAGACATTTTTTTTTTTTATAGAAAGAAAAATGTTTTTTTGGGAATAAATTTTGCCAATTGGAAATCAAAAATACTCTCTAAGACAATAAGTAGACATATAAAATGTAAATTGATACAAATCGAATTTCAAGTTCTCCTTCTGGAATACCATGAGGATCAATGGATGGTTTCTATTTTGAGAGAGTTCTCGAATGTACCAGCCAACAACTTAAACTGTTTCCCCTTGCAATAGATTGTGATCGTCACTGACTGAAAAATTAATTTCTAATTACAAAACTTGTATACCGAATGATTATTTTTTATATGAACTAAATAATATTTAATTCTTATTTAATAAAACAAGAATAAACACACTTGACAATAAAAACAGCAAAGATGAGTAAAATTACATGTCAGCAAAATTTATAGTATAAAAATACATGTACTTAGTATTTATTTTATCTCTTTTCTACTATAAATTATACACTTTCTTATGGTTGAAATGTATTTTTAAAATAAAATCGAGTTCATGTGTGATCAAATATCAACAAAGAAAATTTGGAGCCACTCCAAAATTTAGGGAAAGCAATCTCTTGAGATTCCTTTTTCTCTTATTTTGCAGCTTTATTAAATATTCTGGAAACTGTAAATAGTACACAATTCAGTTCTGATTTTTAATTTTAATTTTTAATTTTAATTTTACTAAAAAATATCTTTTATATTAGAAAGACGAATTATTAACTCAAAATTAAATTATTTACAAATTTAGTAGAGTAATGTAAAGTAATTACAATTTTGAAATTGTTTACACAGAAAAAAAATTTGTTCATTAGAACCATTGGAACTTGAAAAATTTTAATGGAATTTGAAATCTGATTATAATTTTGTTTATTTTAGATTTCAACCATGAAAATTAAAGAAAATTCTATAAATATTTTCTAATAAAAAATTCTTGCTTTTCTGAATTTAATTATTTATATTCTTGTGAGTAAAAAAAAATTTCATGCAATTTTAATTCAACACTTTCATTTAAGAAACCAAAGTACAAAAAATATAACTCGAATTTTAATTTATTCTTTTGATGGTAACAGTTTTCTTTTTAACTGTTTTTTTTTCATTTATATAAAGTAACAGTTGAAAAAAATAGATTTAACCATATTGTATAAAATTGAATACTGAATAGACTCAAAAATATTGAAAAGATTTCAATGTAAAGGATTAAAAATGTGGTTGACTCACTTAACATTTTTTTTTCTATTTACAGGTATATAAAAAATTAAAAAGAAAACTTTCTTTGAAAATTAAGTTCAATAAACGGGATTGACTTTAAGGCGCAAAAAAAGTCGCTTTAGTCGATTAAAAATAAAAAAAAGTCGAAAAAGTAAATTTCTTACAAGAATTTTCGAATAATTTAAAAAAAACAAATTAATTTTTTGAAGAATTTTAATTAAAAATTTTGAATATGATTGTTTTCTCGCTAAAATGATAAGAATAATTCTTAAAAATTTTAATGTTATATATTCTTTTTTGAATGAATTTAGATTTTCTGAAATATGTAATTAAAAATATAGAAAATAATTGATATTTTAAAAAATTAAAATGAAAAAAATTCTAATAAGCAGAATTATTAATAATTTATTAATGTGAAAATAATTTACAAGCAATTAATTAATTTTAATTAAATAGCACTTAAGTAATTAATTATGCTTAAAAATAAATTCAATTTACTAAAAAATAATATAGAAAGATTAAAAAAATATTAATCAGAAACAAAAATAATTCTAAGTTTCAGTTTCGCAGATGTTTAGCATTATATATTAATCTAGGTCTCTTTTTTTCTTGAATGGATTATTTATGCGCGAAAAATGATTAATTTTCTCCATTTTAGAAAATATGAGAGAAAAAAATTATAAAAAGGGAATAACCGCTAATAAATATTGTACAACATTTATAATTCAGTGCAAAGGCGTCTCGATATGTATCGGGGTTGAAAGAATCCATTCATTAACATCATGATGATCGCATTAATAATCAGAGTAGATTGATCAAATTATAATAAAAAATTGAAATTTTGAATGGCGATCGTGTAAAAAGTAGATTACAAAAGCCACATTTTACATTTATAGCGACACGAGCTTTTGATAAAAAAATTAATCACAGACATAAAACTTTTGTTGGCTAATCACTATTGCATAGTATTAATTTAAAATTTATCTAATATAAAAGCAAATTATTCAATGACCTGGAATTATTTTCATAAAAAAAACACTTTAATCTCAAGTATCCATAAATAATGTCAACACTTTACTTTTATTTCAATAGTGTTAATAAAGCAATTATTGACCATATGATTGTATAAATTAAAACCATTAAAATGTACCTAATTATTTACTGAAATTTTAAGTCACCTTATAAAAATAATTAATAATATTTTTAAAAAAGTTTCTATTTCATTAAATTTTCAAAACGTTTCATAATTAATTAAACCTTTCGTTTAAAGAATTTACAAAAGCAAACATAAATCAGTGAAAAAAATGATAAATGATTATCCTATTTCAAACATATTAAATATTAATTAAAAGTGAAAAAATAAGCCACGAAAAAATTTTATCTTAATAAACTTTAAATGGACTGTTGGACGCACATGATGAAAAAAATGAGGTTAAGTACTCGGATATTTTCAAATAATGAAATAACTATACATATTTTTTCCCAGAATTTTCAAGAAAAGATATTAAATTTATATCAAAGTCGAATAAAGATTATATCGCCAAGTGATAAAAGTTGTGTAACAATGAAAAAACAAAAGATAACCATACAAAAAAAACAACTCACTCTGGGAAAATTCGCATGCCGTTCGAATGGATCTCGTGACAATCTCATATTTGGTTCAAAAAACGAATCCGTGTCTTCTTCAAATTGTTGTTTAATCTCTTCTAAAATTTCATCTCCAGATTTCCCGCGTAATCTATCGCTAATTTTCGGTTTTTCACGATAATAAAAAGACATTATTTTTATTCGAAATCAAAAACCAAAAAAAAAATATTTCACACTTCACTTAAACTTTTCCGTTTGTTTATCATACATTAAACTATATGAAATTCTTGTCTAAATTTAATACTTAATTGTAGTTTTTCTTTATAAATAGTTTTTTCATACACTAAGAACTATTAAATTCAATTCTAAACAACATTCTCCTGAGACGCTTTGCGTGAAACTAAACAACGCTTCGCGCCAATTGGAGATTAAGGCGCCGGCAATCAGGGACGAATCTAAAAGGGGCCCAAGGGTTCTTTAATTCTTTTTATCAAATTCATCAAATTTCAATCAGATTTTTGAAATTTGAAAGTTATTTTCTTTTTTTAACCGCTTTTTTGTACACTAGACCCTTAAAATTTGAATTTAGATAAAAATATTTAGAAATTAAAGAAAATTTTTCGAAATTTCCCGCTAAAAATACATTACATTCACGCAGGCGCAAATTTTGACAGGTGAAAAGTGAGGTTATGTTTTTGTAAACATGGTATAAACGTCGTAGGTCGTAACGTAAACATTTTTCTTTAGATTGTAAATAGAATATTTTTCTACTTGTAAAAGTAATGCATATAATTAATTTTAATGTGAATAATCATGTCTGCATTGAGTCTAATTGGAGAATATTCTTCTGATACAGAAGAAGAAGTATTTAGTCCAAAAAAAGTGAATCTTGATAGGTTAGTAATTTTCAATTTCGCACAAACGACTTTTAAAAAGCTTTTTGAAACTAATTTCGCTAATTTCTTTATTTGTAATAACTAGTAATAATAAATAGGACTCATTAAATTGATTTATCACATTAAAGATTACCAGTACCTGAAAGTATATTATCCTGGAAAGGTGTCAAACATCACGAAGAAATTGATGATGATCCTTCTCTACATGATGGTAGAATACGAACTTTTAAACACGAGCGTGGAAATTGGGCAACTCTAGTTTATATTTTATGTAAATATAAAATTTATTCAATTATTAAGCGGATTTTAGTTTAACAAGGTTGACAGGTCTGGGAAATCAGAAAAAAGTCAAAATAGTTATTTTCGTAACAAGGGCGCAAAATAGGTGATTGCGACGATGGCGAAATGAAGGGACCGAGGGGACACAATTTCGCGCCCGAGGCGAAGCCGAGGGAGCGAAAGTGTCCCCGAGGTCCCGAAATTTCGCCAAAGTCGTAATCACCTTTGCGCCCATGATGCGAACATAATTTTTTGTCCTAACTGCATGGAAAGTATGGCATTGAGGGCACGCACGATTAAACACTCATATTAGTTAAAAATTAAGCTCTATATAAACATTATATCGAATGAAGTCTTATAATGATAGAAGTTTTAAAATAGAAATAAAAAAATAATGTATTCTGGAAACATAGTATTTATTTAGAACGTAGTAATTAATAATTAAACAAAACTGAAACAAGAACTTTTAAAATTGACAATTTTGATAAACGAAATGGGAACAAAACCAAATGTCTCATAAGTTTTTTTAGAGAAAATAAAAAAAACTTGCAAATTTTTAAAGGTAAAATAAAACAAGTTCAAAATATTTGCAGTTCTATAGTCAACTTAAAAAGAAAGTCGAAAATGTCGCATTTTAATGAAGAAAATCGAATAATTAACAAGCGGGCGCAAAATACTTTTCCGCCCGCTCGGTGGTAGGGGAAGCGGGCGGAAAATACTTTACCGCCCGCTGACGTCATACAAGCGGGCGCAAAATACTTTTCCGCCCGCTTCCCCCACTCCCGGGCGTAATGTGTTACTTTGCGCCCGCCTTAAGTGCCCGAAATGACATACTTTCCGTGCAGGTAGGACAAAAAAGTATTTAAAATTCAAGTGGATTTCAAAAATGTTTTAAGTGAACTTTTTTTTCTCTGAGCCGTAAATAATTGAATTCTCAGGCAACATTCTCAAAAATTATTAAAATTAATTTATTCAGAAAGGAATTATAGTTATAAATTCTAAAAAATAATTGAATTAAAATCTTGAAAAATAAGTTTTGAGAAGTTACAGTGATTCTAATACAAATTATTAAATTTTAAAAGATTTGAAAAATAATTGAATTCTTGTGAAGAATTTTACTCAAATCTTTTTAAATAATTTAATTCTCGTGATAAAGTTTATAAAAATAATTGAATTCTTGCGAAGAATTTTATTCAAATGTTTTTAAATAATTAAATTCTCGTGAGAAAGTTTATTATTTACAAAAATAATTGAATTATTTAGAAGAATTTTATTAATTATAAAAATAATTGAATTCTTGCAAAGAATTTTATTCAAATGTTTTTAAATAATTGAATTCTTGTGAAAAATTTTATTATTTAGAAAAATTATTAAATTCTTGTGAAAATTTTTATATTTGGAAAAAAAATTGAACCCCTGAGAAGAATTTGATTGTTTAGAAAAATAATTGAATTCTTGAAAAGAATTTTATTAATTATAAAAATAATTGAATTTTTGCGAAGAATTTTATTCAAATTTTTTATAAATAATCGAATTAACATGAAAAAAAATTTATTAATTGTGGAAAATAATTGAATTTACATGAAAAAATGTTATTATTTGGGAAAATAATTAAATTTTAGTGAAGAACATTTATAAAATTTTTTTAAATAATTGAAATCTTGAGAAAAAATTTGCCAGGAATTTTATTAAAATAATTGAATTTCAGAGAAGAATTTTATTATTTTTAAAGATAATGGAAATTTTGACGAGAATTTTTTTAAATTTTTAACATAATAGAATTTTTGGGAAAAATTTTATTACTTTTAAATATAATTGAATTTGTGCAATCATTATTTTGTAACTGCTCCAAAATTCAATTTTTTTTAAAAGTATTTTAAAATTAAAGTAATATTATTTTAAAATATTTTAAAATTCTTCTAGAAATCCATTATTTTTAATAATTAAATAAATATCAGAATATCTATTTTTTATTTTTTCTTTCTTTAGTGTCAAAATTCTGTTTATGAAAAAGTCATGAAAAAAAATCAAATTTTTTTAGCAACCTTGTTTGAATTTTAAGTTTTCTTTTTCAAAATTTATAAATACTTTTTTCCCAACAGATAAGCCAAGTACAGCACTTCATTCTTGGATGGAAAATGTAAAGTCCGAACAATTTTTCGAAGACGGAAAACTATTTGATGAATTTCATATCAGTTTAACACGAACCGTTGCAATAAAATTTCACTGGATTACTTCTTTTGTCGAAGGACTCAAGGAGATGTGCAAAAATTTGAATAGCTTTACAGTCGAATTAAAAGACATTAAAGTTTATTGCAATGATGACAGAACTCGAACTTTTCTCGGAATTGCTTGCGAAAACAGGGCCTTAAATAACGTGACGGAAAATTTAAACAAACTATTCAACGAGTACCAATTACCCTGTTTTTATGAGGTATTTTTTTAAATTAGATTTTTAATACTTCAGTTGTTATACTTTAGTATGACTTTAGTAATACTTTTTCAAGTATATTTTCAGCTTTTTTTCAAGTACACTTTTTTTAAAGTTTAATTTGAATTTCTCCTTTTTAGGAAGCATCGCACCACGTAAGTTTTCTGTGGACCCTCGGCGATCAAGTTGAAAGTCTAAAAAAACTCGTTCCCACTTTATCAGCCTCATTGAAAACATTCCTATTTGACAATTTTGAGGATGGGTTTATAGACGTTCATGAATTACACTGTAAGATTGGAAATAAATTATATACATTTAAACTCAGATCGGAATCTGTTGTGTGATACAAATATGTACATAAACTGTTAGAATATAAATTATACAGGTTTAAATATAACAATATCGTGAGGTAATTTACTAGATAAACCCCTTCCCCTCCACAAATTTTCCCATTCATCTATCACATTTTCAATCATACTTATTATTAAAGTACAAACTTCTGGACTCGTTATTGTCACATCAATTGATGGTAGATCGATAATTTTCGCACAACCAGCAACATCAATGTAAAATAAACTTGGTTGTCGTTTTAATAAAGCATTCACTGATACTTTTGTGATATCCTTATTTCCATTTAGGACAAATTTCGAAAGATTTGGCGTTTCTGTTAAAATTCTTCTCACATCGGCGTCAGTTATTTTACAGGAAGACAATTCTAAATTCTCCAATGCGAATAGAGAGTATTTTGGATTATTTATGATTTTACTGACAAAATTAGAACTGCATGGACTTTGGGTGTTTGATAATGTTAAGCCGAGCATTTGTCTTTGCAATAGACGACTTATACCATCGCCACCGAGTGCATTCCATGAGACGTCCAAATTTTCAAGTGCATCGTTTGTTAGGGTAAATTGTATATCCTCCAATTTACAGTAGCGTAAATTTAATGTTTGAAGATGCTGCAAAGGTTCGAGTAAATTGTACAATTTTCCCTGACATCTTGAACCCAGTGGATTGTAACTGAGATTTAATATTCGAAGTTGTTGAGGAAATCGTTCAATTTGTGACAGAACATCAAAGTCGATGTCACAATTTTGTAAATGTAATTCGTAGAGAGATGACACTCTTTGAAGGGTAATGTTTAATAATTTTCCATGATTGAAGAGTAATCCTCCTGTTAATTGTAGGGTTTGTAAATTTTTCTGATATTGTAGACACTTCAATAGCGGTGGTAATTCCTCGTCTAATGTCTCTTTGAAATTTAATCGAAATATGGAAGAATTTTCACAGACTTTAAGGCACTTTATTGTCGTTTCTTGAATATCTGAAAAAAAATTGGAAATTTGTATTTTAATTAATTCATCATTTTTTATCAACTTTATTTCCATTAAACACAATTATTTCAATTAAATCCAAATAATTGCAAATTTAATTTAATCTTTTTAAATTATTTACTGGAATTTAATGGTATTTTGAAAGAATGTTAATTCCAATTTTTCAAAAACCTAATTTTTTCATAATTTCTAAATTACATTGCATTCAAAACTAGAATAATTTATTTGTTAAATAAATATTTGAATACTTTTTCATTTCTTGAAATTAAATAAAAATAATTTCAATGATTTCAATGTAAATTTTTTTTAATTTAATTATGCATTTCTAAAAATAACAACTGTAATTCTTCCAAAATCAAATGATTTTTTAGAGAAATGGTAAATTAAGTTTTTTTTTTAAATAAAAGTTTAAATATTATTACAGTTTTACAACAATTAAAATTTTCAAAGATTTGAATCTAAAAATCAAAAGAAACAGAAGAAAAAAGTAGCTTTTAGTATCAAAAATCTAAAAAAAAGTATCCAAATAGTATCAAATCGAAAACAAAAATTAGTAAATAGTAGATTTTAGTAAATAAGTGCGAAGCCTGTAAATTTAGAAATTAAAAAACGAAAAACAAAACAGTAAATTTAGAAGTTGAAATTATTTTGGAATTTAAAAAAATACTCACTTGTTTTGCAATTTTGAGAGATACTCTTGTACCGTTCGACGATACCAGGAGTGTAGAGATCAATTATTTCTCCTTTTAATTTAACTGGATCGCCAGATCGGAGGAAAAAATTCGGCGTCACTTCGGAAGTGAGTTCAACACCCTCCCAAGTGGAAATTCTTAATTTTGCCTTGCAACCTGTCTCTTTTTCGAATTTATTTTTCACTTCCTCCATTAAATTCTCGAGAACACTTTGTCGATCGGTAAGAAATGTAATTGTCGCATTATAAGTATTGTGATCAACAAGAATAGAAAAATTAATTGTTGAAGCGCTCATCTGATTAATGAGATTATTGGAAGTGTCCATAAATATCGGCGACGGCGTTCGGGAATTTGTATCTTTAGTGAAACCACTTCTCAACAGAGACGATTGTCTTGCCTTCTTTTTTCTCTTCGGAAATTCCGAATGTAACGAATCACTACTCTCAAAACTGTCTCTACTGTTTGTATCTAAATCCACATCCGAATCAACGGAAAGTTTTCTTTTAATTTTATTTTTTCCATCTTTGAAATTTAGCGTTTCTGAGGAGTGTCTTTTAACGTTTGATGAATCGAATGAATTACGTTTAACGTTTGTATCAGATGAATTACGTTTCACGTTCGATGAATCGGATGAAAGTCGTTTAACGTTTGAATCAGTGGAATTTCTCTTGATATTCGAACTCGATTCAATGGAATTTCTTTTTGAAAATGATGTTGATTCGATTGATTTTCGAACTGGGGGGATTATATCGTCCTCAAGCCAATCGTCAACGAGAATTTCTTCCGAGTCCAAAAGTGGTGCTGTGACTTTGTGTTGTTTCGCAATATTTTTCGATGAATTTGCCAAACCACCTCTGTGCTTTAAATTCATTATTGTCCGCTTATAATCCTCACCGGCAGAAATCTTCTCGGGCGATGTTTTATCGACCAACATTTTTTCCTGCTGATCATTATCATCGTCGATCCAAATTCTATTTCTTTGTGGTGTGGTTTTCTTTCGATTTTTTGGATTAACTGTCACTATTTGAATTAATTTGCTGAAACAATGATCGTACTCGGTTTGAATTTCACTCGACAATTTACCAGCACGATTCCTCCATTCTTCCAATAGATCGATTACAGTCTCATTCTCGTTTGTTGTTGCATTCACATTGGCGCCATTCTCAATGAGAAAATAAACCATGGAAAAATTTCCATTAAATGCCGCGTCGAGAAGTGGTGTTAATCCATTGCATTGCGGTCCACCTGTGTCATCGATATTGGCGCCATTCTTTATTAAAATCTTTGCAATCTCGACAAAATCGTAATTCGCTGCTTCGTGAAGTGGTGTCCAACCAAAAGAATCACGAACATGGATTGGATGTCCTTTAGCTAATAATTTCTCGACCGTTTCGATGTCACCCTTGATGCAAGCAACTTGTAGTGGTGTTTCACCTTTTTCGTTTCTTTTCACAACAAAACCTCGTTTGAATGTTCTTCTTGGTTTTTGAATATCGTCAATTTTGTGTAATGCCTCCTCGACATCGGACAATTCGTCTAGACAAATATCATCGCCGATATGTTGAGTCTTTGGTTCATCTTCATCATCATCGGATTCAATTTCGATAATTTTATTTAATGCTTTTATTTTCAATTCGATATTCTCGACTTCTACATTATCTTTGACAGTCTCGAGATAATTGAGATATTCTCTCAATACTGATAATTGTAATTTTGTTTCATTAATTTTTTTAGCGAGCGTTAGTGCTTGATTGAATTGATCTCGTATTTCGATATCTGGCGATTTTGCCGATACCATAAGTGCAGCGAGTTCTAATGTCGATCGACAAATATCTTTTTCATCCGTATGTAGAAGAAGTTCTCGTCTCGCGTAATTTAATGCTTCTACACTTCGTCCCGCGTCTTTTAATGTTTGAGCTAAACTAACCAGAGAGGCACCAATTTTTTCGCTGCGACATTCTTCCGCGTACATGAGCATTTTTCCATAATAATCTATTGCCTTCTCGTAGGATTTCACTTCAACTGCCGCGTCTCCTAAATTTTCGTAGATATTCTGCTTTGCTTCTGCATTCGTTTCGACTAGCAAACTGTCCTCTGCATTACAAATAGTCACAACTGTAAAGAAAATTATATTTTCAAAAAAGACATTTACAGAAAATAGTAAATTTAAAAATGTATTATTTTCATTGTATTTTCAAAAAAAACTGTTTAGAAAACAAAAAATAGTAAAATATAGAAAAATAAATTATTCAAATTAAAAGGAAATTATCAATCTTCCAAGTCAAATAAAAATAAAAACAACTTTTTACGTTTCGTAAAAAGTTGTTTTTATTTTTATTTGACTTGGAAGATTGATAATTTCCTTTTAATTTTAATTATATAATTTTTACCAAGTGATAAATTTATTAAAATATAAAAATAAATTATGTTTTCTCAAGAAAAAGGAAAATTAACTTACCTATTCGAAATAGTTTGATAGCATAGTCCCGGATATCGGAAGATAAATTTTTCATTATGTAAAGATTCACTAACGGTTTGCGCGCTTCTAACCATTCGCCTAATTTCAGAAGTAATTCGGCTTTTGCTAAATAAGCATCGGCCTTCATTGAATTATTATTTACTTTAGCCGATTTATCATAGAATTCCAAGGCTAGATCATAATTTGCTTGTCTTTCGTGAAAAGAACCTAATGCAATGTGTGTTCGATGAAGATCCTCCGTTAAATTATGTTCTCTACATAAAGAAGCTGCTATTTCTAATTGCTCTAAGCCTTCTTTTGGTGCGTTCTGAGCCTCTCGAACAAGCCCCAAATTTAATAATAATCTAGCTCGCATTGTGTGTAATTCCTCCTCTTTTACACTTCCTTCCAATCTGCAAACATAAATTTTATTACTTAAAAATATTTTATATACATATATATCGAATATATTGAATATTTTATATTATTCTAAATAAATATTTACTAATATTTTTCCATATTAAGATTTTCAAAAATCTCAAATTCAAACCTTTTGAAATTCAATAACTTAAAAGAATATTACAATAAAACATAAATATCTTGATTACTCCGAGTAATAAAAAAAAAATTGAACTCCTTAGAAGAATTTAATTGTTTAGAACAATAATTAAATTCTTGAAAAGAATTTTGTTAATTATAAAAATAATTGAATTCTTGCAAAGAATTTTATTCAAATTTTTTCTAATAATGGAATTATCATGAAAAAATTGTATTAAATGTGAAAAATAATTGGATTTACATGAAAAATGTTATTATTTGGGAAAATAATTGAATTTTTGGGAAGAATATTATTAAAATTTTTTTTTAAATAATTGAAATCTTGAGAAAAATTTTGCCAGGAATTTTATTAAAATAATTGAATTTCGGAGAAGAATTTTATTATTTTTATTAAAAATAAAGACCTCTATTATTTTTAAAGATAATTTAAATTTTTACTAGAATTTTTTGAAATTTTGGAACATAATTGAATTTCAACGTAAAATTTTATTATTTTTGAAAATAATTAAATTTCTGCAATTATTTATAGGAAACTTCTCCAAAATTCAATTTATCCAGTGTTTTTAACTAAAATTCTTTTAGAAATCCATTTTTTTAAATAATTAAGTAAATATATATATTAAAAAATTTAACTAATTTCAGAAGAATTTGAATTATTAAAATTTTTCAAAAATCTAAGTTCTTTAAAATTTCTAATTAAATTCATTGAAAATTAAAATTTTATAAAATTTTATATTGAATCCTTTTGAAGTTCATCTATTTGTGATAATTTTAAAAGAAACTCTTTTAAAATTCAATTAATTTGGCAATATTTAAGTAGTAAAATTATTCATTAAATAATTTATAAGTAATAATTTTATTATAGTTCTTCAAGAATTAAGTTATTTAAAAAGAAATTATTGTCAGAAATAGAAAAAAATTGAAGGTTTTGTATTATTAGAATTCGTGGTAATTTCATAGTTTATGAGGCAAACAAAAAAGTCACCAAAATTCAGACTTACTTGGAACAAACGCGAATACTTTTACAATACGCTTTTTTGGCATTTTTAAGAGCTTCTTCTTTCTCATCGCCTTTTTCTGTTATGCTTTCAGCTAAACAAAAGTACGTCCTTCCTAAAGTAGCAAAAGCTCGTTGAACTTCTAGGAGATTTTCAAGTTCACGAGCTCCTTCTGTTAGGTAGAGAAATTTCGTTTTAGAATTTAGCTTTCGTTTTAAAACAAAAAGTTTAGATTAAAATAGTAATTACTATACATCGTAAAGCTTAATTATTAATTTAGAATTAAGAAAGAATCTGTAGAAAATATTTACAAAGTAATATAATAATGAGAATTACCTAGATGTAAATTTTGATGAAAGAGAGCTTCTTGATAATTTCCTAAATTACCATACATTTCTCCAATCATACGATGTGCTATCGCACATTCTAGTTTATCGCTTTTGCAAACTTCCGCTTGTTCAACATATTGTTGCAAGGCATTTTCAAAATCTCCCTGCTCAAAATAAAAGTCGCCAAGATTTTTCAAAATTTCCTTCAACTGACTAAAATTATTGTCACGCAAAGCGCGTTGTTTTCTCTTCAAGAGTTCTGAAATAAAATTATAATAATAAAAATCCACTATATCAAATATTAAATAAAGATAAAAAATATTACATTAAGCAGAAATGTCAAAAATATAACAATTAGAACAAAACATAAACAAAACAAAAAATAATTATTAAAAATTAAAAAGAAACTTACTCTCTTCATTCATTTCGACAAAAAATTATTGCTCCATGTATAAAATCAGAAATAGCACAAAAATGCTGATTTTGCAAAACAGATTTTTTTTACACAAACACTTTATAATAATAATTCAGAAAATCAGAGGTTAATTTTTCATTGTCTCACCACAGACACAAATAATAGAAACAGTTATTAATTACTAATATCAAAAAATAAAACAACATCAAGTCATTGTCATGTAAAAGCAATTAAAGTAACAAAAATTATTACTGTTCTAAATAATAAAAACTGAGTATAAAATTTTATAACATAAACAATCAGGAGAAATACCGCGTTGTCAACATTATTTTTTAAACAATGCTACCAACTTTTCAGATTTCCTTTTAATTTTACTGCAGAGAATTCAATTGGCTGGAACTTTTTGAAACAACCAATTGAAAATAAGAAAACGATTTTTATGTTGTTCAACCTGATGTGCAACTGGTGCCATCTGAAGATAGTTTGGTTTAAATGTCAACGGTGTAAACAATAGTTTCAAACGTAAATAAAAATAAAAATTTGTTTTTCAAATAAGTTCGGTTGTAATTAAGAATTGTGCAGTGAATAATTTAGGAAGAACAGTTTCTTTAGTGTATTGTGTCAATGATCTTTAGAAGGTTTCTTGTTCACAAAGATTCGTAAAACCCGTAAAACATAATGAAAAGTCGTTTTTAGGTTAGGTTCCAATATATAGTTTATTATAACGTTCGTTTCTGTTTAAAAACAATTCTATAATTAACAATAGAGCTAAAATGAATAAAGTGGATGCATTTATTGCCGTTTTAAAAGAAAAGAATAAATTGCAACAGGAGAAATGCAAAATAGAGAAAAATGATCAGGAGAAAGAGAAAACGAAAATGATCAACGATGTTGTTGAAACAACTGGTAAGGGATTAAGAAATCAATTTAATATTAACATTATAATAATGAATATTAACATTAATGATAAATATTAACTCAAAAAACAAAAATCACAAAATAAAAAAAGTTAATAATAAACATTAATATTAATATTAACATTATTTGTTTTACTAATGTAATTTTTTGAACATTTCAGAAAACTTGATTCAAACGAAAGAAAACATTGCGAAAAATTTGAGTTTTTTAACATCGAATAAACATTCGATATTTAAAGTGACACAGGAAGCAGAGACAACAAAAGGTCTTCCAATATCTTCCGAATGCCAACAGTAAGTAGAAAGAATATAAATTTCCTATATAATTTGAATATAAAACTATCAAAATTTTCTTTCAGGCAAGCTTTGAATTTATTTACAAACAGCATCACATTTTTAAATAATTTTCAAGACGTTCAAAGAACTTTAGAAACAGATAAAAATATAGAACTTTCGAAACCTGCAGGTGATATCGTGAGTATAAAAGAGAATTATTTGAGAAATGAAATCAATTCTAAGTGTATTTTATATAATTTTCTCTATTATTTCCAGGTGCGAAGCACAAGATCAATAGAGAACGAATTAAAGAAATTAAGATCATCTTTCAATCAAATTGAAGCTTTGCAGTTAAAAGTCGAACAATTGAAAAATACTCTCTTCATTCCTGAAAGTAAGTGAGATATTTGTCAAAAAAAAGTCTATAAAAAATCATTCTGAATAATTTCCAAACTTATTATTAAAAAACCTTTTTTCAGGTGAAACTCAACAGGAGTTAGATGATTCCATTTATATTAATACATAAGTAATTTATTTATTTTTTAAAAACATTTTACTTTCTCTAAATCACACTGTACAGTTTTATATTGAAATATACTTAAAAAAATTCATTTAATAAAAATCTCGATTCAATATTTTGCTGTAGGAATGTAATCGAAATATTGGCTGGACGCATCCAATTTATTGTCAAGGTCCAATTTCAATAAAATCAATTGAGGATCCACAATATCCTAGGTAAATAGACAAATTTAATTATTATTTTATGTAAAAAAAATCAGAGTGGCCACATTGTCAGTAAAAGTTTAAATTTAAATTAAGAAAAATTTTTTGTAATATTACCGAGAAATGTGTTTTCATCATATTGGAATGAACATCCGATAAATATGGTGTTTCATCAATATATTTTTCTTGAGGTTCGATTATATTGATGTCTTTCTCCGGTCTCTCGACAAGACCAATTTTCAATGACAGTCTTTCTCTACAAAAATTCATTACATTTACTAGTTATAAAATTGTGATTAATTATTTATTATGGAAAATTTCTAAAATAATTGCAATTTTAAATATTTTTTATTAATGAACATAATAAATATTTTAAAAGATTTAATTTCTCTTTTTGGAAATTCTGAAGGAATACTTTTGAATTTTATGTTTTTACTTGTTCTTCTTTTGCGTAATATTTTAGTGAATTATTTTTCTTTACCTTGCTAGGGACAGTTTCTCGGCAGCTATTCTATTTTCTCTTTGAGCGAGAATTTCAAATTGTGTTTGCACCTGATTCATTCTTTCTTTAGATTCTTCTTCTATTCTGTGAGCTTCTTGTAGGGCTCGTAATCCTTCTTCTCGTTTCGTCAATGCTGACTTTAAATAAGAACAATGAGTATTAATACAATAATTTTTGTATTAATATTAACTATAATTTTATAATAATTGTAATTTAAATATTAATTTTATATTAATATTAATTTAGTATTAACATCAATTGAATAGTAATGTCAATGTAATTTTAATATCAATTTAATATTAATATTAATTTAATATTTAAAATTATTTTCATAGAAATTGCAATATTATAATTAATAATAATAAAAATGGTGTAATTAAATAAATATACTTGAGTCAACGATTCAAGTTCTTTGGCCTTTATCACAAGTTGATCTTCTTTCTCTTGGAGAACATTTTTCTGCAATTCAACTTCATTGATTCTTTCTTGCCATTTTCTTCTCTCTCGAAAAGCATTTTCCGTAGCTTCCTGAGCACTTTTTATCATTTCTTCTAACTAAATATTTTAATACTTAATTTAGATATTTACTTTAATGTTTACTTCAATAAAGTAATGAATTAATTAAAATAATGATTAAAGGTTTTTTAATTAGCAGTTTAAAAATTATAAATTAGTTAATACTAAATTATTTTTAATAGTAATTTTCTTTAAATTTTAGAAAAGAGTTTTCTTTTATTCAGCAAAATACGAACCTCAGCCTTTGCAACATCATCGTTGCCAGATTTTAGTCTATTAGAAATTTCCAATTTCCCCTTTTCCTCAATGAGTGCCTGCCTTTCTTTAGCAAGAAGTTCAATTCGTTTCTCTTGTTCTTTGCGCCAAGCTTGTTTTATATCCTACGGAAAGAATTAAACAAAATTCTTTTAAATACTTTATAATATTGGAAAAAATATTTTTAAATATTCATTTCTAAATTTAAATTCACATTTAAATATTCACAAATATTCAGGGAATAAAATTTGAAATATCATTTCACCTCTAAATGATTTCGTTCCCATTTTGTTTGCTCTAAAAATAATTCTTTTTCCCTGAGAAAAGCTTGTTCTTTTATTTTCAGTCTGTCTTCTATCTCAGCGTGCTGTCCATTTCTTTTTTCTGTATCGAACGCAAGTTTAATGGCAGTTTCTTCTAATTTTTGAGCCGATATTAATAATTGTTTTCGCTCAATTTCCGACGTCTCGTTTTCTTTATTGACTTGTTCTCTCATCACTAAAAAGAAAAATGCCGATAATTTATCAATTTGTCACTAAAATTTCTTCATTATTATTCTCATGTTAGAATAATCTTATAATTTACGAAATAATTTATAAAATAATTTATAAAATAGTTTATAAATTTCTAATATAAATAATAATTAGTAAAATATACATTTCAAATGATCAGCTTGCGTTTGAAAATAAATTTCCCTCGACTCGTGAAACGTATCGTTCCTCTCCTCTATTTTCTTTTCCAAAATTTGTAAATTTCCAATAACATTGTCAGTCTTTTTTACAATATCATCGATATTCTCCTTCTGATTAGAAAATACTTTAATTGCTTCCTGTTCAATCATTTTTGCTTTTGTGATATTCTGAATAGTTTCGGCGTGTTCGTTTTGCAGTAGGATTATACTTTGAGAATGCCGCTCATAAATTTGTTGAATAGCCAAGAGATGCTCTTTCTAACAGAATTAAAACAATTTAAAGAAAATGAAATTAACAATCAAATTAATAAATAATTACTCTTTAACTAATTTATAAAAAAGAATTGTTTCACTAATTTAGTAAATAATATTTTAGATTTTATTCTTGTAGTTATTAATATCGAAACAAATATTTACCTTTAATTCCTCTTTTTCTTCTTTATGGCTTTTTTCCATTTCTGTCATTTCCACTTTTAATTTTTGCAATTTCGCCTCATAATCTGCTTCTAAATTGTCGAAATTTAATTGCATTTTTTGCTCAAATCTATCGATGATATCCTCCAAGATTTTCACTTGCTTTCTGTATGGAGAGAAAATGTTTTAGATTTCAACAATGGGAGAAAATGATTGTTTCATTTTTTTTTTTGCAACATTTCTTGAAAAAGAAAAATTTAAATAATGATTTAATATATTTACTTATAAGATTCGTCAAAAATTGTCATTTCCTTTTCGTGTTTTTCCCTTAGGCTTTCTATTGTACTCTCTAAATAGAGCTTTTCCAATTGTAATTTTTGTACGTGACTTTCGTTTTCTATATTTTTGTCAATAAAGTCTTTAGGAATGTCAGTCTTGTTTGAAGAAAAAATTAACGGCATTGACGTAGGTTGTGACATCAAGGTCTTTAATTCAAGAAATAAATTACAAAATTTATTGATACATTTTTTTAAAAATTAAAAACAAATTTTTAGAGTAAATTTTAAATTAAATTTAAAAATTACAAACAATGTTTAATTTCAAATATAGAAGAATTTGAATATCATTTTTTAAAATTACTTGCCTGTAGATAGGAATCAATTCGATTCTGTTGCATTTTCATTTGGGCTTCCAATAAAGTTTGCCTCTCTATTTGCCTAGTAATTAACATATTAAACTGTTTCTCTTGATCGTTCAGTCTAAGTGTTTGATTTTCAAGAAGATTAGTAAATTTATCGTTGTGCTGCGACAGCGTTGAAGCTGTTCGCAATATATTTTCTTGTTGCTGCATTGAAACGAGAGCCGCCTGTTGATCAAATTGTGTTCCCAATAAAATTGACGATGTCTGAGGAAATAATAGTCCACTGTCTTGATTTTGTTCAATAATTTCCGTTTCTTTACTCGCAGCACTGAGAGTCGAAGTTGCTGGTTCGACGATTTGTTTTGAATTTGTATTCGGCGCTGATATTTCTTCCGATTTTTCTTCTTTCACATTTTTACGACCACCGAGCCATTCTGGTAGATTGTCATTTGCTGTACTTTTTGAAACTTTTTCTTCTTTTTTACTCGACTCAATGGTGGTGAGAGAATTCTTCTCGATTTCCTAAAATGAAAAGAGAAAATAATATTTTTATTGATAGATTTTTGTTAATTATTACCGAATATAATAAAATAGTAAATTTAGGTTGCCACAAAAATTTAATTTTTTCCCCTAACTTTTCCCTAATTTCCAAAAAAAATTTTAACTTGAATATTTTAATATAAAAATAAAGATGACCAAATCATTATTTTATATTATAAAAATATTATTTCTGTAACTTCTTCAAAATTGTTTTCATCATTTCAATTCAATTATTATTCTCTTGAATTTTTAACTAAAATTCTTCTTTAAATCAATTATTTTTAATAATTTTTGAAAAAGTTCTTTCAGAATTTTCAAATTTATTTGTTTACAATTTAATTTTACGAAATTTCGATTATTCGGAAATTCTTCAATTAAATATATTTTAGAAAATAAAAACATGAAATATTTAAAAACAATTCAATTGAACTAATTCAAACAAATTAATTCTACAGAATTCTTAGTTAAATGTATGAAAAGTTCAAATTTTCAAAGATTTTAATTTGGAAACCTTTTCAAAATTCAATTATTTTTAAAACTCCACGCTACAATGCTTTTAATATTAAATTATTATTTAAAATTTCATCTAGAATTCATTTTTAAATCAATTTTAGTAGACAATTTTACGAGAATTCAATTATTTTCTAAATTTTAATTTAAAATTCTTTAAAAATACAAGTATATTTAAAAGTTATTTCTGAAAGTAAACAAACAAAATTTTTTTAAATATAAATTTTATTTCAATTAAATTTGAATAATTGGAAATTTAATTTAATCTTTTTGAATTATTTACGGGAATCTAACTATCTTGCAAAAATTTTAATTACAACTCTTCAGATAACTAATTTTTATCATAATTTCCAAAATGTAATTACATTTTAAACTAGAATAATTTAATTTATTAAAAAAATATATGAATACTTATTTATTTTTCCACAGTAAATAAAAATAATTTCAATGATTTCAATGTAAAATTTTTTTTCTTTAATTGAACCATGTATTTCTAAAAATAACAACTGTAATTCTTCCAAAATTCAATGATTTTTTAGGGAAATGGTAAATAAATTAATTATTAAAAAAAAAAAATTAAATATTATTACAGTTTTACAAAAACTAAAATTTTCAAAAATTTGAATATAAAAATCTTTTGAAATGTAATTATTTCTAAAAATTCAATTTTTATTAAAACGTCCTACGAGAATTCAATTATTCAAATACAAAAATAAATAATTTATTGAATAATTAAATGTTTTTTTCAAAATTGAATTCTCATAAAGAATTTTATTCAAACTTTTTTAAATAATTGAATTTTATCGAAGAATTTTAATAAAATTTTTAAGAATAATTGCAATTTTCCAGGAATTCGATTAAAATTGTATTAAAAATAATTTAAATCCATCGAAAAATTTTATTATTTATGGAAATATTTGAATTCTTGCAAAGAATTTTATTCAAATGTTTCTAAATAATTGAATTCTCGTGAAAAATTTTATTATTTAGAACAATTAATAATTGAATTCTTGCGAAGAATTTTATTTAGATTTTTTTTAAATAATTGAATTAACATGAAAAAATTTTATTAATTGTGGAAAACAATTGAATTTACATGAAAAAATGTTATTATTTGGGAAAATAATTGAATTTTTGCGAAGAACTTTCTTAAAATTTATAAAAGTAATTGAAATTTTGACCAGAATTTTTTTAAATTCTGGAACATAATTGAATATCAGTGGAAAATTTTATTATTTTTGAAAGTAATTAAATGTCTGCAATTATTTGTAACTTCTTAAAAATTCAATTCTTTCAGTGTTTTTAACTAAAATTCCTCTATAAATCCATTATTTTTAATCATTATTTAAATATATATTAAAAAATTTAACTAATTTCAGAAGAATTTGAATTATTAAAATTTTTTTAAAATCTAAGTTTTTTCAATTAATTTCTAATTAAATTCATTCAAAATAGAAATTTTATAAAATTTTAAATCAAAACCTTTTGATGTTTATCTATTAATTTTTAAATAATTGAAATCTTGAAAACAATTTTACCAAGAATTTTCTTAAAATTTATTCAAATAATTTAATTTCGGAGAAGAATTTTACTATTTATAAAGATAATTGAAATTTTGACAATTATTTGCAACTTCTCCAAAATTCAATTTTTTCAGTGCTTTTAAAATACATTATTTTTAATAATGAATTAAATATATATTACAAAATTTAACTAATTTCCGAAAAATTTTAATTATTAAAATTTATCAAAAATCTAAGTTCTTTGAATTAATTTCTAATAAAATTCATTAAAAATTGAAGTTTTATAAAATTTAAAATTAAAACCTTTTGATGTTCATCTATTTGTGAAAATTGTAAGCGTATCTCTTTTAAAATTCAATTTATTTTCGAATAGTTAAGTAAAATTGTTTGTTAAAAAATTTCCAAATAATAATTTTATGATAGTTGTTAAATAATGAAGTTAACTAAAAAGAAATTATTGACAGATATAGAAAAAATTGAAGGTTTTGTATTAAAATTCATGGTGATTTCATAGTTTATGAGACAAACGAAGAAGTCACCAAAATTCAGAATTTTCTTATGAATTCTAAAAATTAAATTTTTTTCTGTACTTTTAATGAAAATCCCTGACTTTTCCCTGACCAATTCTACTTTTCCTGAATTAACTGACTTGTTGCAACCCTGTAAATAGTAATATCAAAATATTACAAATAGAAAATAAATAGAGATTTAAAAAAAAGAAATTTACGTCTCTCTTTTGTTCGCTTCCAAGTAATCCTAAGGGATCTAGTAATCCAGTCGATGGTCTTCTGCCTCTTCTGGATTCTCTCGACACTGAAACGACAGTCGTAGGCGAATAACCAGTAGTACTAGTTGTCGATTGTACGGAAAATATTGAATCGCTCTTTGTCATTAAATTTAATGATTGTTGACTCGATTTTGTTGGATTTAATTCAACTTTGGATTGCGTCGACGCCAATTCGGTGGTTCTACGAGAATCAGAAGTAGATTTATTTGTTAAGCCGCTAAATAAATTTTCCATCAATGACGATTTTTTCGATTGTTCGCTAATAGGTCGTGTTTTCTCAGTCAAATTCGAAATAATATCATCAGTGTCATCAAATAATGATTTCTGAGGTTTCTTCGATGATTTTTCTGGCACATTTTTAACAGTCGGATTGGAAACGTTTTTCAGGGAATTTTCCCTCGGCAATGTATTTATCGAATCAGTAGAATCAAGTCGAAAAGAATTTTCCTTTGGCAAAGTATTTGATTTTGTTTTATTTTGTGTAATTTGAGGTGCTTTTGATGTCACACCATTTGTCTTTATTCCAAACAAATCAGCAATTTTCTTATTTTGTGCCTGTGATGTTGTAACCGGAATCGATGTCTCCTTGGAAGTGTCATCCTCGGATAAAAGATCTGCGAGGGGATCGTCTTCATTGAAATCTATGTTTAAAAAAAAAGTTTAAATTTAAATTAATAAAAAAAAAGAAGTAAAAGAATAAAATTTTCATACCTCGAAATACGACTTTCTTTTTGGTTTCAGCACTTTGTGGTGTGATTTCTTTTTTCTGTTCACTACTTTTCAATGTACCACGAAGCAAAGCGTCGTCTAAATCTTCCATATTTTCCAATATTTTATCCAAATCTTCCGAATTAATGTCAGACGAATCCGAATGATTGTCATACATTTTTTTTCTATTTTATCAAAAGTGAAAACAAAAACAGTCAACAATAAAGAAACAACCTGTCAGTCTGTCAAATATTCGACTTTCTTTTATATTAAATAAGCACAATTTTTATTATCAATATTTATTGATTCATTCCTTTATATTGTAAATTTAAAAAGATAAAATAACTATAAAAATTTATAAATATAAATTTAATTTACTTTATAAATTCAATAATAGAAAATGTTTCAAACAAGGGTTGTCACTTAATAATAAAAAGTAAGACAATTACTAATTAATTAAACTGATCGTTGTGAATAAGGACGCCAAATATCATGTGTGTGCGTTGTCATGGCAACGAAAAAAGAAATTTATTTCAATTGGTTGAAATTAATCACGTGACTAAAATAGTGCAAAGGTGCAAAAGCAAATAGACAACTCATGCAGTTGTATATGTGAATTGTGTCTGTGTGTGTGTTACTGTGTTTACGTGTCAATCGTGTAAAAATGGCTGACGTTAATTTTTCCGCTCGTGCTTATTGTAAAATTCTTTTACACGCTATTAAATATCCATATTGTGCAATAAATGGCTTATTATTAGCTAAATCGAAAAATAAATCCGATGCTAAAACAAATGAATTACAAATTGTCGATTGCATTCCATTATTTCACATATGTCTACACATTTCTCCCATGTCAGAAGTAGCTTTAACTATGGTAAGTTGTGATAAAAATTCATAAAATTATCAAAATAGTACAATTCTAGAAGTTTTCTTTTCCATTTTGTTCCATTTTTATCGATATTAATAGAGGGAATTTAAAATTTACACACTTGTAAGTTAGGTTAGGTTTGCTGTCATTATCGATTTGTATTATGATTCGTTTTGTTAATTAATTCTGATTAAATAAATCGGTCAAATTTGAGTTTTTTTTACGAAAATAAATATGTAATACGTATCTGTATTTTTCAAATTAGTATAATTATTAATTTTATTATTTTGTTATAGTTAATATTTTATTTTCCAGATTGATCAGTATGCTTCTCGTAAAGGCCTTGTAATAGCTGGTTACTATTTAGCAAACGAAAATATGAACGACATGAGGTAAATATTTTAATTCTAGAATTTTAAACAATTATTTTAATCAACTTTTTCATTTTTAACTTAATTTTACAGTACGGATAAACCAGCTCACAGAACAATGTCAGAAAAAATAGCAGAAAATTTTGGACAGGCCCTTCTAGTTGTTGTAAGTGTCAAATAAATTAAATAAATTAAAAACTTTTTATTACTTTTTATCTGTTACACTAAAAGCTACTTTTTTCCATGTTTGAGAATTTACACAAATTTAAATTTGTTAACAGTTGAAATGAAATAATTATTTTAGAAAATTTTAATTCAGTTATTGGAAAAAATTTGAAAAAATTCTTCTCAGGAATTCAATTATTTTTAAAATTTTCAATAATAATCGTTGCAAGAATTCAATTATTTTTCTAAATATTAAAACTCATCGCAGGATTTCAATTTTTTTAATACAACTTTAATCGAATCCATCAAGAAATGTAATTCTTAAAAATTTTATTAAAATCATCAAAAGAATTCACATATTGGAAAATTTTTAAATTATATTGAAGTTCTTATTTTCTAACATAATTATATTTAATTGAAGAATTTCCGAAATTTCGTAAAATTGAATTGTAAAAAAATGGATTTGAAAATTCTCAAAGAACTTTTTCAAAAATTATTAAAAATAATTGTTTTAAAGAAGAATTTTTGTTTAAAAACACTGAAAAAATTTAATTTTGGAGAAGTTACAAATAATTGCAAAAATTCAATTATTTTCAAAAATTTTAGTAAATTTCTTCGCTAAAGTTTAATTATTTTCCAAAATTTTTAAAAATTCTCGTCAAAATTTCAATTATCTTCAAAAATAATAAAATTCTTCTCCAAAATTCAATTATTTTAATAAATTTTATTAAAATTCTTCTCAAGATTTCAATTATTTAAAAAATTTTTAATAAATTCCTTCACAAAAATTCAATTATTTTCCAGAATTAATAAAATTTTTTCATGTTAATTCAATTATTTAAAAAAAAATTTGAATAAAATTCTTCGCAAGAATTCAATTATTTTTATAATATATAATTCTTCTCAAGAATTTAATTATTTTTCTAAACAATTAAATTCTTTTCAGGAGTTCAATTATTTTTTGCAAATAATACAATTTTTTACTAGAATTCAATTATTTTTCTAAATAATAAAATTTTTCACGAGAATTCAATTATTTAGAAATATTTGAATAAAATTCTTTGCAAGCATTCAATTATTTCCATAAATAATAAAAATTCTTCGCGGGATTTCAATCAATTATCAATTATTCTTAAAAATTTTATTAAATATCTTCGAAAAAATTCAATTATTTAAAAAAGTTTTAATAAAATTCTTTATGAGAATTACATTTTGAAAAAAAATTCAATTATTTAATCAATTATTTATTTTTGTATTTAAATAATTTCATTCTCGTGGAATTTTCTAATAAGAATCAATTTAGAATTGAATAAAATAAAATAATTAAATTTTTGAATAATTTTATTCAAAAAACAAAAATTATTGAATTTTGAAAGAATTACCTTTGTAATTTTTAGAAATAGTTAAATTTCAAAAATGCGTTACATTGAAATCATTTAAAATATTTTAATTCCTGTAGACAAAATAAATAGGTTTTTTAAATATTTATTTTAAAAAATTATTTTTTTTTTAATGTAATTAAGAAATTATTAAAAAAATTGAGTCAAGTTTTCGATATCTACTTTTTTCTGTATTTAAGCTACTTTTTTAAAATTAATTATCGAGTTTTATTCTTTGAAATATTAATAAAATTATATTTTAGATAAATAACAAGGAAATGAATTACAATATGGATATTAATCCACTGAGGGTCTCTCAACACGCGGACGGAAAGTGGAAATCAAAGGACAAAGCAGAGTTTGTATTCCATAAATTGTTACTCTATAATAATTAATGAAAAATTTTGACAATTTTTAATCTTCTTTCTATTTTATCTTTCAGCATAAATTTCGAAGGAGGAAAAACACTCTTTGAAACAATGTCCTGTTTAATGAAAGAAGAAGACTGTAAAACATTAGTTGATTTTGACAATCATCTTGACAATATTGCTTTAGATTGGCAAAATTTAAAGCTCAACGATAGAATAGAAGAAGTAATGGGAAATAATCAATAGGTTGGAAAATTTACTAATTTATTTCAATTTTAATGCTATCCACAAATATTCTGTTTTTTCACACGTTCTCTGTCATCAATCAAATGAAAGCCACATAAACGTTAAATGTAAATACCCTGTAGAATTTATATTAAAAAAATTGTTTTTATTTACGAAATCTTTTTCAATAGCGTATTCTTTTTTTGAAAAATTGCTCATAACGCTCATAACAAGAGAACTATAAAAAAATGCATTTATAACTGAATTTTTGAACTAGAAAAATAATTTTTTCTAGTACATTTAGAATAGAGTAAAGAATAAAGAAAAAATAAAATAGTAGTAAAGAAAAGAGTAAAGAATGAATAAAATAATAGAATAAAGAATAAATCAAATAATGGAGTAAATAATGAATTAAAAGGAATAATTTCATAAATAAAAAATCAGATCTGAGGAACATACCTTTATTGATTATTTGAAAACGTTTGTTTTTATTTCTTTGTTTTTTGCCTTGCTGAAGTTAAGTTCAATTATTATACTGAATTATAAAATAAGTCAGTATAACGCAACAATAACAATTTAAAATTGGAAAATCTTGCGCCATGAAATTTTCTACAAATAATCTTTACACACAAGGGTTAAACTGCTGGCAAAAATCAGGTACACAATTCATTATGATTTTTTATACATGAACATGTTGCTAAAAGTAAAGGGGGCCCGAAAAGAGAGTAAATTTATTCGATTCTCTCTCTCTATTAAATTTAAAATACTGCGTGGAAAAATACTACGCGTGCAGGATGCTGCATTATCTTAAGCTAGATTTCTTTTTTTTTATTTTTCAACTTAACTAATTTGGTTCATCACATATATTTCCTAACATTGAATATAATTTTTTTTTTCACTTTTTTTAAAGCTTATTCTAGCGGATAAAGGTTTTTTTATCCAGCTACGTTTTTCATTTGCTTTCAAAGTACATGATATTTCTAAATTGTAATCCAAAAATAGCACCGATTCTTTCTACAGTACATATCGACATTTTTTTCTTCTTTTAATTTGAAAGTATAATTCGATTCTTTTTTGTTTTCTTAATTTGTACACTTTGAAATATTTAATTAGAAATTATAATCATTAAAGTGATATCAGTAATTAAATAATTCAGTATCTTCAAAGAAAATTAATTTAATTAATTAAATTTCAATAAATTTATTAATTTTTTTATCAGTTATTTTTTAATTAATTGTACATAATCCTCAATTTTCAAATAATAATTATAACTTTGTTTTTATGTTAGGAATAATTGAATTTTGTAAAATTAAATATTACAGGGTTGCCACAAAAATTTGATTTTATTTTTCCCTGACATTTTGACTTTTTCCCTGACCCTAAAGAAAAAGAAAATAAAAAAAATATTCTGTTGCACTCTAAAAATAATTAGATATACAAAAATTTTTTTTCAAAAACTTATTTTTGAATATTTTTAATAATTGTAAAATTATTCAAAACTTCAACAGTTTTTTTTAAATAAATATTTAATTATATTTTTCCACAGGAAATAAGATTTTCAAATTTTCAAATCTTTTGAATTTCAACAATTTATATAAGAATCACTGTAACTTCTCAAAAATTATTTTCAAGATTTTAATTCAATTATTTCCTAGAATTTTAAACTAAAATTCTTCTCTGAATCAATTATTTTTAATAATTTTTGAGAAAGTTCTTTGAGAATTCAATTATTTATTCAAAGAAAATAAAAAGTTCATCTAAAAAATTTCACATCTTTTGAAATTCAATAATTTATATGTAAGAATCATTGTAACTTTCCAAAATTATTTTCAAGATTTTAACTCAATTATTTTAAAATTAATAAAATTTTTATTTAATCTTTTCAAGATTAAATAATAACAAAAATTAATTAAAAAAAATTGTTCTGAATCAAAAATCATAATTAAATTTGTAAAATTAATTTAACATTCTAAGCCATAAAAAGAGTTACTTATATATTATTGTTGAAAAACTAATTTCTATTAATTAAAAATACGAGTTTCTAAAAATTTATTTTCTAAAAAAATGAATTTTATTTATTTTAATATCTCATACGAAGAATTAAAAAATTAATTTTTAGAAAGTTCAAATTACTTTTGTTTTTGTAAGTTTAAATCTTTATTAATTCAAATTTTCTTCTTGTATTGAATTTTATTAAAATTTGTCAAAATAATTGAATTATTTTGAATAATTTTATTAAATTACATTCAAAATATTTGAATTCATCTGAGAAAACTAAAAATCTTTAAAGTTTTTAAAAATAATTGTATTCTTTTGAGAAATCCCATTAAAATTCTAATGAAAATAATTGAATTCCGGCGGAAAATTTTATCATTTATGAAAATAATTGAATTGTTATATGGAATTTTATTAAAATTTATTAGAAATAATTGAATTCTTTCAAGAAATTTAATTAAAATTTATTAAAAATAATTGAATTCTTTCAAGAAATTTAATTAAAATTTATTAAAAATAATTGGATTCTTTCAAGAAATTTAATTAAAATTTATTAAAAATAATTGAATTCTTTCAAGAAATTTAATTAAAATTGTATTGCAAGTAATGAAATTTCCGTGAAGAAATTATTGAAAATAATAAATTGGATTCCTGCGAAGAAGTTCATTAAAGTTTTTGAAAATAATATATATAATAATAATTAGTTAATAAATAAATTTTATAAATTTTGAATCAGAAATTATTCAAAATTTGCTAGTTACTTATAAAAATTGTAAACACTACTTTTCTAAAATTCAATTATTTTTTGAATTATTAAGTAAAATCATTCGCTAAATAATAATTTATAAATAATAATTTTCTAATATTTCTTCAAGAATTAAATTATTCAAAAATAAATTCAATTTCAATTCTGTAAAGTTCAATTATTGTTAAAAATAGATCAAATTTAAAAATAAATAAAATATTTTCAATATTTATAATCGCTGGACAACAAAATTGAGAATTTTTATCATGAATTCTAGAAATTTAGTAGTTTTTCAATACTTTTGATAAAATTTCCCGACTTTTTCCTGATTTTCCTGACCTGTGGCAATCCTGTTATTACCAAATTCGTAAATAATAATGTATAAGTAAATATTAATTTTTTTAAATTAAAAAAACTATTTTTCCAAACGTTTTTCGCACTCATAAATGATAATTATACATTGATATTTATTAAAAAGTTGAGATATGGTGCCTAAGGCGAGTCAAGCTTACAATGTGCATATTAATTTGCTTTCCCTCCAATTAATATTTAAATTCCAACGCTTTTTATCGGGTATCACTGTTATAATTTTTCTCGCATTTTAATTCTTGATCTTAACAAAAACAACGTGTGATGTTCCAGACATAACACGTATATCATTTTCAGTATCAAAAATACTTGCTCGGATCTATAATCGTATTTTTTTTCTTTTGGTGCATCAGTGCCAACTACATCTAATAGTCGTTAAATATATTCGCATCTCTGATTTAATTCCCTTCTTCGACAGACCAAAAAAAGAGGAAAAATTCATTTTTGTACTATTTTTCTTTACCTATATGGACTGAATTATTATTTTATTTCCAAGTTTCAGAATATATATTAAGAAAATAAAATTTCCAGGTACTTTCATTGTTTTTCATTTGTGTATAAAAGAACAAATTAAGGCTGCGTCTACAATAGAAAAAAATAATGTGTAATTTGTAGTGTAATGTGTATTGTTTTTGGCATTGACAACTGTCAGGGGCAATTACACTGTATATTACACAATTTTCTACACATTATTTTTTCTGTTGTAGACGCAGCCTAAAGAAATAATTTTTCAGATCTGTTGACGAAAGGATTCAACACAGCCAAAGATTTTTTTTTACCTAAGCAATGTGATTATGTTTCAGTGTTTGGTTTATAAAGTCATTGTTTGCTGTTTCAACTTGCATCGGTGATAATGATGGATTTTTTTTAATGAGAATATTGTTTTCTAAATGAAGGAGAGAAAAATTAATGAATGTCTTTGAATCATTGAATTAGTGAAGATTATGGGCACTGAAAATAAAGTAGTAATTCATTTGAATAAACAAATTCTTAAGTATAATTATTAGCTGCGTAGTCCCTTGTATGTTGATTATTTTTAAATTCATTTATTCCACACTATCACGTCCGCAAGTATTTATTTAAGATTATTGCATAGAAATAACTTCGTTTTAAAATTCTTCAGTTGATTATTTTCGAATTTTGCAAGAAGAATGAAAATTCGAATTAAAAATATTTCGGTTCACTTAAAATAGAAATTTGAAAATTGCACTGTTTTCTAAATTTACTATTATAATTTGCCTACTTATAGCTAGAGAATTAAAACTACATTTCAAATGCACTGCATTTTCAAATTTGTCATTAAAACTCAGTTTTTTATTTTTTTGTATAAAATTGCAGCATCGACGATATTTTCAGTTTTAAAAACCTACTTCATATTGATAGTATCGCTTAATTTCCCTTTTGTTTAGGAATAACATTTAAAATTAAATTTTCAATTAAAATCTTTAATAGTTTTTAGTTGAAATAAAGTAGAAATTCTTTTTTCGAAACTAATTTACGATGCTCCCAAATTTTTAATATTTACATACAAATTTCGCGCATCGAGCTTAGTGATCGTGTGTGTTTCTTTATACATTGCTTTTTGTGCAATTTTTTCAAAGCCCTGGAATTTTCGTATGAACTTTTTCAATTTCACTAACTAAACGATTTTCAAGAAAATATTTTCAAGAAAGAAAATTTTCATGTCTTCGAATTTCACTTTTTTAAATATTGATTCCTCGAGAACTTTAAGAGATTATTTTCTTAAAGTTCATAAAGTCTTCATACTAAAAATTCCGATATTTAAATTTTATGATACACCTATGATGCTGATGATTATTATTAGATACACTTTATGTGCATATTTACAAGTTCATATAACTTTTTTTTTTGCCAACAATTATAAAATTTTCTAAACACCCCACAACAACATTACTTCACTTGTGTTTGTAAATAACAATTGCATATGTTATTTTTAATGCATTTTTTATTATTATTATTTTTCTTCTTATCTCTTGCATCACTTTTAAGAAAGCCAACAATCTTTTTGGACGGCTGCGCGATCAAATGCAGGACTCTTTTGCAAAAAAAAAGTTGAGCGATCCTCAACGTTTAAAATTGTTTTTCATTAAAATAGCCTTCCACACTTTATTTATATATTTGTATAAGATGTTAAAATTGTCCAATAAGCTCAAGCGTGATCTTAATTAGCAAACTTCTGAAAGACATCGAATCGGCATTTAGCAAATCCTTATTAACATTTTTTTTTTTTGGATTTTGCATGGACACTGCCTGGACGTGACATTTATGCAATTTTTGTTTACAATAAAAACCGAACATTTCATTCGGAGACCGGCAGTTTTTTTTAAACGAAGAGAAAAATAAAGATTGTCGATATTCTCGATTTTTATCACGAACGTTAGTTTTAGAATTAATTTCATTGACTCTTAAAGAAAAATACTGAATAAATTAGAAAAATTCGTATTTTCTAATTTCAATTTATCAGATAATTTATTTTGATAAGTTAAGAATTCTTACTCTCACTAAATAACGGTTAACACTTTTTTTTAACGAATTAAACTCGATAACAGATCTACAAAATATATTATCTAAAAAAAGAGTCGGATTTTATTAAAAATCTATCGATTGGTACCTACAAAAAAAAACATTTCTCATTTCAAACATATTCATTTGAAAAATGTTCTATAGAAATTTGACTAGATCCTCGGTCTCTTAATGCCAAAGAAAATGGAGTTTCAAATTATGGACTAAATTTGTCCTTCTTTATTTCTCTTTCTTAAAAATCACTATGATGGCTCAAAAAAGCGAAGTGTGTAAATTTGCCTCACCTTATACGTATTAGAATATTCGTGTCGTGTCCTGATGATAAAATCAGGTAAAAACTGTTCGTTTTCGTCAGATATTATTCGTTTTGAACTTGTTTCTCTTTTTATGGGGGGCGACGGCGTTTGTGAAAATTGAATGGTAAAAAGTCATTTCGTCAGATTCCGAAAGGGACTGACGAATTCATAATGCTACGTCAACGGTGACGGAGATTCGGGTGGCACTGGAAGTTGAGGAGTTTGTCGTGATGGCACACGCCTTGGCCAGTGTTGGGGAGAAACTGGCGGCGTTGTCCTTGGCGTCACTGGAGCGGAACCTGCCGTTAACCTCCAGGAACTTCCTGGCCCACTTCGACCCATATTAGAAAGACTGATACTGCTGCTGCTGCATGCCACCGCTGCTGAGAGATCAACTCTTGATACGGCACTTGAATTTAAAAAACAATATCCAATTATTTCGGTTCTATTTAATTAATTTGAAAAATTAATTTTTAATTCCTAAAAAAATAGTCGAATAATTTAAACGATTTTATTTTATTTTAATTATTTTTCTTTTTTTCAAATAATTAATCTTCTATCTTTTATCATCATTGAATTCTTGTAAAGTATTTATAAAAAAATTTGAAAATAATTGAATTCATTTCAAGAATTTTATCAACATTTTTTTCAATAATTGAATTTTTCCGAGAAAATGTAATTAAAATTGTATTGAAAATAATTTAATTCTTGGCATGATTTTTATTCAAATTCTTGAAAATAGTGAAGTTTTTTATAACAATTTTTAGTGAAAATTTTGAAAGTAATTAAATTTTCTAAAGAATTCAATTATTTTCAATAATTGTAATAAAATTCTTAGCAAAAAGTTAATTTATAGATAATAAAAATCTTCGTAAAGAATTCAATTATTTTTATGTTTAAATAATAAAATTCTTACCAGGATTTCACATATTTTCAATACAATTTTAATTGATTTTCTTCGAAAATTTCAACTATTTTTAAAAATCTTGTAAAAATTCTCAGAGAAAATCCAATTATTTAAAAAAATAATTAAATATTTCACTTGAGTCCAATTATTTAATAAACTTTTAATAAAATTCAATTATTTTCTTCAATAATTAAATTTTCGATGGAATTGAATTATTTTAAATACAATTTTAATTGCATTCTAGGGAAAATTAAATTTTTTTTAGAGATTTTTTTTAAAATTCTTTGAAAGAATTCAATAATATCAATAAATAGTAAATTTTTCCCAGGAATTCAATTACTTTAAATACAATTTTAATAAAATTCTTCTAAAAAATTTACATATTTTTTAAAACTTTGCAAAAATTCAATATTATTTGTAGAAATAATAAATTTTTGCGCAGGAATTCAATTGTTTTCAGACATATGTAATTAAATTGTCGATGTACTGAAAATCATTGAATTCTTTGAAAGTGTAATTTATAAAAAAATTTTAAAATAATTGAATTTTAAGAAGAATTTCTTTTATGTTTTTAAAATAATCGTCTTTTTTATTAATTGTAATTAACAATTTTCCTATTAAATATTATATTAAAATTATACATAAAAAATTAAATTCTTTTAAACAAAGTTATTAGAGTTTTTGTAAATAATTAAATTTTTTTAATCATTTCATTAAATTTCGTAAAAATAATGTAAATTTTTTAAATAATTTTAATTGAAAATTTTGAAAATAACTGAAATTTACAAAGAATTTTATTAAAAACTTTTGAGAACAATTGAATTGTTAAGAAAAATTTTATTAAAATTTTTTAAAATAATTGAACCCGTTAGAGAAATTTTATTGAAATTATCTTGAATATAATTGAATTTTTTTCCAGAAATTTAATTAAAATTGTACCTATTGAAAATAATTGAATTTCTCAGAAGAATTTTATTATTTACAAAAATAATTGAATTCTTGCCAAGAATTTCACAATTTATAAAAATAAGTGAATTGCTTCAAAGAATTTTATTACAATTTTTAAACATAATTGAACCTGTTAGAGAAATTTTATTAAAATTATCTTGAATATAATTGAATTTTTCTAGAAATTTAATAAAAATTTTATTAAAAATAACTGAATTTCTTAGAAGAATTTTACTACTTACAAAAATAATTTAATTCTTGCCAAGAATTTTACAAACAATTCATAAAAATAATTGAATTGTTTCGAAGAATTTTTTATCAGAATTTTTAGAATTAAATAGATAGAATTAAGTTCAAGTTTAATTAACTTTAAATTAAATTAAAGGAAAAATTTCTAGAGGAAAATATTATTCGGTAATTTAGGAAAATAGAGTGAAATACCGTGATGGAGGAGCAGATCCATGATAACCAAGTGAACCACTTCGTGCTTTTAGGGCAGAAACCGAACTACATGATCTGGGCAGAGCTGGTGATGGTGGCGCCGAAGGTAACATTCTCGGGGTTTGAGGTGGAGTTCTTCCACCAGTTAGACTTCCAGTACTGCTTGAAGACGATTTTCTTCGCAATGTTCTAGTAAAAAGCAATGATGATTATTTTATTTTAGTTTTTTTCAATAAGAATAAATTGGACAAAATAAAATGAATGAAAAGTAAGAATAAACAAAAATAAAATAAATAAAAAATAAATAAATATATTAAAAATGAAATAAACGCATAATAAATAAAATAAATTTAAATTAAATATAAAAAATAAAATAAATGCAAAATAAATAAAATAAACACAAAATAAATATAAGAAATAAAATAAATGCAGAATAAATAAAATAAACACAAAATAAATAAAATAAATACAAATTAAATATAAAAAATGAAATAAATACGAAATAATTGTAAAAAATGAAATAAATACAAAAGAAATATAAAAAAATAAAATAAAGACAAAATACTTGAAACAAATAAAATAAATATAAAATGGATATAAAAAATAAAGTAAAATAAAAAATACTATTAAATTTGGAAGAACAATAAAAATTGTAGAAAAAAAGTTTGACGGAAGAGCACCTTTTGGAAGGTTGCCTGCATAATCCGGTCGGACAAGGACGACCCATAGCGCATTTTCCCTCGCAGACTTCCCGAGCCAAAGCTAAAGTCTCATAATTTCTTAAAGTCGCTCTACAAGCTTCGCCATCGGTTGAGGCGAGAGCCAAACTGGGAAAACGTTCTTTTAACCTTCTCCTTTCCTATATTAATAAATACAGAAAATAAAAACTATATTAATAATCGTTGTATTCCGAAAGTGTATTAGCAGTTTGAAGTCAGTAATTTTTGCTTGCTTTCTTTTCATAATTAATTTTATAAATTAATAATAATAAATTTCCACAAGAGCTTGAGTATGATTATAAAAATTTTAAAAATATATAAACCTCTTGAAGACGAATAGCTTCGAAATCTTCGAGTTGTTGTTGAAATCCAACATTTGGATTTGCCACGGCTCGTCCAACTCTCACCACTTTAAGAGCATCTTTCCACGATAAATTAGTGGTACTCATGATGTATGCGACCGCAACTGTCACACTTCGTGACATCCCGGCTAAACTGAAATTCAAACAAATATGAATTTTTTTTCTGGAGAAAAAGATGTACCAAGAACTTGTTCAAAAGTAATTTGCAATTATTTTTACCAGTGAATTAAAACATTGCCTCCTCGAAGACGTGCTGCATGAATGAAATCATTGCAGAGAGAAAAATATTGTGATAAATTTTGGTCCGGTGTATCTGCCGCTAAAATGCACAAGTAATGCTTGTCCTGTAAGATAATAGATACTAGATAACTTCAAATTTAATTCTTGTATTGAATTTTATTCAATCTTATGAAAATAATTTAATTCCATTGAAGAATTTTATTATTTATGAAAATATTTTAATTCTTGCGAAGAAATGTCTTATTTATGAAAATAATTGAATTCTTGCGAAGGATTTTACAATTTATAAAAATAATTGAATTGTTTCGAAGAATTTTATCTGAATTTTTGAAAATAATTGAATTTTTTTAAGGAATTTTATGAAAAATTTTGATAATAATGATTTTTTTAAAAAAATTGTATTAAAACTGTTGAAAATAATTGAATTTTTATTAAAATTCTTGAAAATAATAGAATTTAATTAATATTTATAAAAATAATTGTATTCTTCCGAGAAATTCTATAAAAATTGTATTGAAAATAATTGAATTCCAGTGAAGAATTTTTTCCACAAGAATTCAATTATTTTAAATACAATTTTAATAAATATTCTTCTAAAAAATTAAATTATTTTTAAAAATTTTCCAAAAATTCAATTATTTGTAGAAATAATAAATTTTTTCGCAGGGATTCAATTATTTAAAAAAGTTTTTAATAAAATTCTATTCAAGAATTCAATTATTTTCAGAAATGATTAAATTATCGATGTACTGAAAATTATTGAATTCTTGTAAAGTATTTATAAAAAAATTTGAAAATAATTGAATTCATTTTAAGAAGTTTATCAACATTTTTTTCAATAATTGAATTCTTTCGAGAAAATGTAATTAAAATTATTGTATTGAAAATAATTTAATTCTTGGCAAGATTTTTATTAAAATTCTTTAAAATAATTGAATTGTTTCCAAGGATTTTATTTGAATTTTTGAAAATAGTTGAATCTTTTGAAGGAATTTTACTAAATATTTTGAAAATAATAATTTTTTAACAAAATTTGCATCAAAATTGTTGAAAGTAATTATTAGGTATATTAATTAAATAATTAATTAATTTTATTATTATTAATTATTATATTGAAATTCTTGAAAATAATCGAATTTAATTAATATTTTTAAAAGTAATTGTATTATTTCGAGAAATTTTATTAAAATTGTATTGAAAATAATTGAATTGCTTTTAAAAATATTATTATTTCACGCGCTGGCGCTCGTATCATTTGTTGGTAATTTAATAATTTTTATGTCGAATTTTATTAAAATTTGTTAATAATAATTGAATTCTTTCGAGAATTCTTTTATGAGTTCTAGAAATTCAATAATTATCTAGTACTTTTGATAAAATTCCTTGACTCTTCCCTGATTTTCCTGACCTGGGGCAACTCTGTAGTAAATAATAAAGTAAAAGAAATTAGCAGCTAAATTAATTAAAAAAATAATTTTTTTGCTTACAGAATGAAGACGACGTGCTGCATCATGAATGGCAAGGATGTGAGTGATTTCATAACGCTCCAATTGTGCAGCATCCTTACTGTCACGATAATTGCCAACGTAAAGACCCGGCAAGACCTTGACAAAAAAAAAGGTAATTAACGTACTGTGCTGACAATTTAATAATTTATCACAAATTTCATTCAGTCCCAAAAAATACACATATCGATAAAATTTTGTCGAGCAGTATTATTACTGATCCAAAACTAATAATTTAAATTCTTCATTCATATTAAAAAAAACTAATTTAGTTACTTAATAAAAATATAAAACATAAAAAAAACCTAATTCAATTATTACCTATTCGATTTAAAGTGAAAAATCAAAGAAGATAAAAATGGAGAAAATGTTGATTCTATTTTCACCGTTGTCATAAAGATCAAAAAAAAAATTTATTTTTACTTGTTCTAAAAGTAAATTAACTGTCTAAAAGAAGAATGTATTATTTTTTATGAAAAAAAGAGAAGAAAAAGTATTAGTGAATGAAGGAATATTGTGGGAGTCACTTTAAAATGAGGACATGACATAAAATGCAGACAGATATAGATATTGACGTTGATAAGTTTCCTTTATGAATATGTATAATGTGTCGACTGCTCTAGGTACCAAAGTTTGATATGATTTTTAAATTACCTAGTCGATAGAATAATTGTAAAATAGTTCAACAATCTTGACACAATATCTATAGAAGAGTATTCGTCGGAAATTTTCAATAATCCACTGATATTATCATTCTAATTTCTAATTTCATTCTAATGATTCTAATTATCACATTTTCTCCTCTTCATTGAAATTATCAATCAATTATCAATATTCAATTTTTTGTCTAAATAATTAGCTTTTATTTTTAGACTACAATCAAACTATAAATTTAAGAGTAATTTTATTTAATTATTAAAATAATTCCTTCGACTTAAATTACACAAAATTGAAAAGTAAAATTATTTAAATTTTCTTAAATTAAAATGAGAAATATTGAAAAATTTCTTGTAGATCTTTTGGGCCACGACCTGTTTTCAGAAATATATTTTAATACAATATTCACAAGTTAATAGATGTAAATTTAATTATTTGAAACAATTTAATTATTCTATCACGAAGGTATAAGTATTCGCAAACTTTATAAATAAATCAGTTCTTAAATGCGAATATGAAACCAATGAAAAGAGCGATTTACACCTGAGAATCAATACAAGTGAATTTTACGAAGATATGTAGTAATAATTTTATACAGTACATATTTTTTTTATTCAACTTCTATTCGATTTAAAAAATTAATTTTTTGAATTGAAATAGAATTTTCAAATAAACTAAAAATTTATTTTTTGAATCAAATAGAAATTTTAAATAAAGTTTTAAATAAACTAAAAAAGAATTTGCAATAAAAAAAAGTTGTTCATTGATTAATGGAATATTTCCGTTTTTCGGATTAGAAAAAAATGAATAAAATTGTCATAAATCATAAAGTGACTGTTAGTATTTTATTGGACGAACGCCAAGCAAAAGTGGTCTACGGCATTGTTTAATTTATGCCAAAAAATAATTTCCCTTTTGGCTCAAATCGAACACTAAATCACAACTCTTATTTGACCAATTAAAGAATACCGAAAAACTATTCTAAAATAGTTTTGCCATTATAGATGTAAACTAATTTTTCTCTATAAAGAAAAAAAAACTTATGATAAACTTTTATAAATTAACCTTTCCCTTTTTTTATGTCAAACAAAAAAATCTATTTTGAAAATTTATTATAAAATCTATTTATAAAAATGTGACTTTATACTATTTTATGTTTCATAATTTTATTTTTAACACAAAAAATTATTTTTCATTAGTATTTTATTGAGTTATCACTGAAAATTGATTTTCTATTTTTTTAATTTTTACTAAAGTTATTCAAAAGTTTAATAATTTTTTACATAAAGTAGTATTAAAATATTATTTTTAAATATTATCAATTAAAATATTAAATAATTTTTATTTTCAGAGCTTCTGAATTTAACTATTTATAAAAATAGCTACTATAACTTCCCCACAATTCAATTTATTTTCTAGAATTTTAAACTAGAATTATTTTGAATTATTATTTTGAAAGTAATTGAATTTTATGAAGAATTTCTTTCAAATTTTTACGATGAACGTGTTTATTAATAATTTGTAATTAAGCATTTGATTATTAAATTTTATGTATTAATTTTTTTTTAAATAATTGAATTCTTCAGAGAATTTTATTACAGTATTTGAAAATAATTGAATTCCTGAAAAGAATTTTATTACTCATAAAAATAATTAAATTCCTATAAGGAATATTATCAAAACTTTCAAAAATAATTGAATTCATGACAGAATGTATATTACAGTTTTTTAAAATAATTTAATTCCTGCGAAGAACTTTATTACTTTTGAAAATAATAGAATTCTTATGAAGAAAATGATTAAAATTTTTCTAATGAATTGAATTCATGCGAAGAATTTTATTACATTTTTTTAAAATAATTGAATTCCTGCGAAGAATTCTATTATACTTATGAAAATAATAGAATTCTTATAAAGAATATTATCAAAATTTTTCCAGTCAATATTGAATTCATTTGAAGAATTGAATTAAAAATATTAAATATAATTAAATTCCTAAAAAGAATTTTCCTAAAATTTAAAAAAAAAATTTATTACAAATAAAAATAATAAAAATAAAACAGAATTTTATTACTTATGGAAATAATAGAATTCATATAAAGAATATTATCAAAATTTTTCTAATCAATTGAATTCATTTGAAGAATTGAATTAAAAATATTAAATATAATTAAATTTCTAAAAAGAAGTTTCTTAAAATTTTTATAAATAATAGAATTTCTAAAAAGATTTTTATTATTTATAAAATAAATGAATTCTTGCAAAGAAATTTTATTAAAATTTTTGACAATAAAAATTGAATTGTTTTGGAGAATTTTATATTAAAACTTTTGAAAATAATATTAAATTCCTGAGAAGCACATTATTATTTATGAAAATAGTAAAATAAAAAAATACAAACTCAATTATTTCGGAGAAAATTTAAATTCTTCCAATGAATTTAATTAGAATTGTACTAAAAATAATTGAATCCTTATGAAAATTTTTATCAAAATTTTTGAAAATAATTGAATTTCTTCTAAGCTCATTTGTTTTTTTTTTGAAAATAATAAAATTTTTAAAAATACAAATTCAATTGTTCCGAAGAAAATTTAAATTCTTTCGAGGAATTTAATTAAAATTGTACTGAAAATAATTGAATTCTTCTAATGAATTTTTTAAAAAAATTTTGAAAATTGATTATTAAATTGTTTACAAGAAAATTAAAATTCTTTTGAAAATAAAAATCGGCAAAATTACATTTTATCAAAATAAATCGAAAAAAACTACGACTTTTCTTAAAAATAGTCGAAAAAAGTAAAAACTTTTCAATATTTGGTGCATATTTTTCAAAACATTACATTTTTGAATTTCAATATAATATAATTTTCAATAATAATGGCAAATTTTTCAATATTTCTCTCATATAAAATCTGAAAATAAACTGTTGCATTATTTATTAATAGAAGAAAGAAACAGAAAAAAAGAGAAAATGATTTACCTTGTTCATGCCATTGCCCATTTTGTCGTTTGAGAAAAAGACCTAGATTCTATTGTTTAAAGTCACAGCCAACGAGAACGTGATAATGATTGAAGATTTTAAAAACAGTTTTTTATCGGTGTAACATATTGTTTTCAAGAGATTCTACTCATCGAGCCCTCCATCCTTTCATTGTCATCATCTCTATCGTCTTCGGCCTCTTGAATTTTTTCGACGAAGGTGCCCATCCCATGTTGCACCTTTTTCGCTGTCTACAGCGTTTCATCTTCGATCCCTCGATTCGTCACTTATTCTTCTTTTAATCTTTTTCAATATTCACTCGACTGCATATACATGAATCTCATTCACGCCCGAATGAAACGATTCTATAAAAAAAACACGAAAAATGAAAATATCTGATAAAAGAGAAAGAAATTTATGAAGTCAAACTTTTATCTGAATTCGATATTCTTTTCTTTTCTTCTTTATCAATCTAAAAATATTTTCTCTCTCTCTCATTATCTTCGATCGTCTCTAATTTTATCCTTTAAATTTTCAATCGGAACTGAAATAATTTTTCATTTTCTGTAAATTTGATTTATTTATTAAATTTTTTTCTTTGAGAGAGAGAGAGAGAATTTTTTTTGTCTCAAAAAATACAAAAAAAATTTTAACGTTTATATTAATAATTTATAATTAAACTTTTTTTTAAATACTTTTTTTTGGAAATTATTTTAGAAAAATAGAAGAAGTTTAATTGATATTTGGTTTCATTGGGGGCTTGATAGTTGGAGTAGGAAGTTGTTAGTTAGACAATTTTCGTCGGATCGTAATTGGCTTTATCCACTTGATGTGTACTCTCACCCCATCTCGAAATGATATTCTATCTATATCTAGTGGTCGTTTAGCATTGTTTCAGTTTCAGATCAGTTAACATTCAATTACGTAATTAGATAAAAACAATAAATAATGTTGTAAATTGATATTTTGTTTTCCCCTGTACAATATTAATTTCCTCATATTGTACATTTACTCATATATTTACAACTAGGTCATTAGAAAACAATTACACGACAAACGAAAATTACTTTCCCAAAAAATCGACAAACAATTAAAAAAAAATAACACAAAATTTTATTTCTATTTTGTTTTCTATTTCTATAACAAAATTTAATTTCTATTCTATAGAAAAATTTGATCTATTGTTTTTATTTAGTAATTTATTTTGTCAAAATGTTAAGGACAATTAGATAAATTTTCTACCAAATTACAAACTGTGGTGATTTTTAAATTTGACGATTAAATGAGAGTTTTTTTTTAATTCAATTTGTTGAAATTGGAATTTCAAGCGAAACATAATCTCCATGCAATACTGAATTCAAATAAATGACACATATTGGCCACATCAGTTTCCATGAAAGCTATTCAACTGGTAAACATGTTTTGGTTCATATTCAATAAAAGTAATTGGATGTCCCAGATGGCACAGTCTTTTTTGTTTCTATAAAAAAAATAAGGACACTTTGAAAAATATGAAATATACTATTTTGCAATTTGTTTTGAATTATTCAGAATTAATTACTTCTCTACAACTTGTTTTAAATTGGTAATTTCTTTCAATTAATTTTCTTTTGTACTTTTTTATTCTTCTGTATTAATTTTTTTATCAATTTTTTAAATGCTTTTTGTAATATTGTAAATTTTTTTTTTTTTTTGAAAAAGAATGCTCAATGAGAAAATAAAATTTTTATTTCAAAAATGTTTCTATAAAGAACGAAAGAGGTGAATAATTTTTCACTCCGTTAATTAAGAATCTCTGCTAGTCCAGAAAATCTCAAGAGACTCATATAACATTATTATGTCACTTTCTGTATTATTTGCATGAAAATTCAGAATTACAATAACTGCTCTTGTTTTATGCAACAAAAAACGAAAATTTACAAGTTCGTTAATTTTCAATTGACAACATTATGCACAATCTTTTGTTACTAAAATTTTTAATAGCTTTATTTCAGTTAAATTTTACTCAATTTTTACTATTAACTTAGTTAAGAAACTGTTTTTTCATAATTTCCGAATTCTCTATAAATCAATTTTTATTTATTTAACATATACGAGCTTTTTTTTTTTAGTTAAAATTTATAATTCTTTATTTATGTTTATGTAAATAAAATAATCGCCAATTTGTAGGCAGTGTTTTCTTGTTTTGTAAATTTTTATCACCGCGAAAAAAAATTTCCCCAGTGAAATACATAAATTTTTACTACTTTCTTCGACTTTTTATGTAATATTTAATATTTTCAGATCTCGTGCATTGTTGGAATCATAAAACAGTCGCATTGCTGCATAAAGTAGGAATATTTGTTGAATCAATAATATTTTTCTTTCAATATGATGATAATAATATGCGAAGAGAGAAAAAAAGGATTTTTTTTAACGTTTTCTGGTAATGTGAAAATCGTTTTTCCATTGAAAACAAAAGTCGAACAAGAAGAGCAGAATGTGAATAGTTGAAATTTTCATTTCTTTTGTAATTCTTGTATAGAGGGAAAAAATTGAAAATCTTCTTTTCAAAAGTAAAAATTAGTCTATAAAATTTATTATACTAATAAAGCCATAGTACCAAATTTCGAAATAGAAAATCAAAAAATAATTTCATGATTTATTGCCTCTCATTGAAATGAAAAATTATTCACGTCAAATTTTCAATTTGTAATCATTTGTCACATTTTTTTCATAAGCAATATATCGAATAGTATCGATAATAGCATTAAAAAAACATTAAGGATGCACCACGCGACTCCAATTACTTTCATCTGGCTTCTCTGAATATTTTCTCTGAATATTTTTATATCTAATAATTTTAACAAGAAAAAAGAAGGAAAGAAAAATTAGTTTCCAAACTGTAAATAAATAGCTTATTGCGATGGAAGCAACAGATTGACTTGAATATAAAATTGATTACACGTCAAGTGTCTTACCCTAGAACGTTTAATTGAAAAGTTGAATTTTGCTTGAATTAAATATATTTGTATATTTTTTTTTTTTAAATAAGGAAAAAAAACTTAAAAAGAAAAAGAAAAAAAAGAAAAAATATAAAAATCAAGTAAAAAACGAAAAAAAAATGAGTTTTCGAATAATCACGGTCTTTAAAAAAAGTATGAGAGCAAGAAAGAGAAAAATGCACCAGGAAGTTAGAGAGTTGGTGCTAATCGCGTATCAAAAGGGCGAGCCGTGCGAAAACTGTCTCGCTGTTAAAAAAGCGCCCACAGACAGACACTGGGACCAACCAGGCGCAGGCGTCGCTTGCGCTCGATAACCTGGCCAACGAAATTGGTCTACTGGGGCATTGGAATGAGATCCCTGGGTCACACCACAACTTTGCGTTTCCTCGATTTACTTTCACTAATTGTCCAGCTAACTTGGCAAATTAATTACGTTTATATTACAAATAAATCGTGTACCTTTCTCTAAACGTGAAGTTGAAAATTTAGGGTTTCATTCGCTAAATTGCATATGCGACAACTGTTTTAAATCATAAGAAACTCGAACAAAAACCTGAAAGCAAATAAATTCAAATCACTTTTAAAAAACAATTCAAAAATCTATATTTAAGAGTAAACAAATTTCTTATTTTACAATTTTTCTTAATTTACTATATAATATATTCTATACATTTAAGATTTAATATTCCTAACTAAATATATTCAAAGTTTAATAATTCAAACTAAATATATTTAAGTTTTAATATTCCTAACTAAATATACTTAAGAATTAATATTTTTACCTAAATTTATTTATTATGAATATGTAAAGAAATGACGCTTATTTTTTTCTTTACAATTTCCGACAAATTATTTCCGACCCGAAATAATTTTTTCCACGTTATACAACATAAAGCAAGTTGTAGTAAAATGCAGAAACAAAATTCTGTGCATTTTTTTCTTTAAATATAGCAACTTAACACTTGAAGATCGTGGGAAAAAGCAGGAGACGAAAGAATCAATTATATACATATATGAATCTAGTTCAAACATATTAAAAAGAAAAAAAAGAACATAAAAAGTTTATTACTTAATAAAAATCTCACCAATTTTTTTTTCTTCAAATAAGTGCGAATAAAAAAATAATTTGCTATAAAAAATACTAATTTGTTAAAAATATTAAAAATAATAAAAGACTAATTTTGATAATAAATATTTGATAATAAAAATTATAATTTGATAAAAGTAGGATTTTAAATTATAATAAAAAAATTTGATAAAAAAGAAGCATTGATAGAAATATTTTAAATAATAAACAAATAATTTGATAAAAAATATAAAATTGATAAAAATATTTTATATGGAAAAGAAAATTTTTTTCAAAATTGTAATATTTAGTTATGATAATTATTTTCATTTTTCTTTTATAAATAAAATAATATATTTACATTGTTATAAATTCTTTTGGAGATTTATTGTTTTTATTAAATAAAGTCCCTTAGGGTAGAGTAGATAATTTAAACTAACGCCCTATGGACTTTTCCCCTAAGTCCTTGATGAGATTAACAACAAAGATAAAAAAAATCTAAATAAATACAAAATGTAAAAAAAATCCCAAAAGAGTAATTTAGAGAGTTATAAAAATATTCTTGTTTCTCTAATGCAATTTTTGTAATTTTTCAACTTAATTTACTGTGGAAAAATATAAAAGAGTTGGAAATGTAGCAAAATTCGACTATTTCTTACAAGCTATCATACTTTTTTATTTTAATAATTTACGGCTAATTAAATTGCTTCATAGAAGTCTCATGAATATACATTAACGTAGAAATGACTTTGTAGATTTTATATTCAAATTTTTTTATAATGTATTAAATTATTATTTTTTTTATTATTTTATTATTTTTTAAACCTCGAACCCTACAAAAGTAGAGAGAGTAAATGAACTATTATTATTATTTTTTAAGTCTCGAACCCTACAGTAGTAAAGAGTACAATTATTTTTTATTATTATTAAAAATGAAATATAAAATTTAGATTTACTTATATGAAGAATAAAATAATAAAAATAATAATAATAAATGTTCACTTTAAGTATTTGGCGTTAAATTATATTTTGAGAAAATTTACAATTTTTTATTTATTTAAATAAATTAATTAACGCTCTCTACCCTTCAATTAAAAATTCTGTTTCAATATAATTTTTAACGACTCGGGATAATTACGTTTCCGGCGGGATGGCGCGTTACCTTCATTATTATCTTTTAACACGTGACTCCATAGTACTTGTAATTTGAAAGCGTCAAAGAGTTTTTCTATGCACGCCAACACTTTAATATCCATAAAAATTTTAAATTACTTTAACAACAAAGTTGATCTTTAAATGATTGTAAAAAAATAATAATCATCTCAACACATAAAAAAGTACCAAGTGAACGTCATTTCTTTCATTTCCAAAAATTCATCTCAATTTTTAAACATTAAAATTGGATCATTCGGTTTCTTCTTTTTTCAAATGATGAAAAATTAATTCTCGATTAATCAATTCTTAATTCTTAATTAATCAATTCTTAAACCTTTCATAATTAATTCGTAACTCTTAATTAATTAAGAATTAATACAGAATTAATAAATAAAAATTAAATAATTCAGAATTCAGATCAATAAATTATTGGATCAAATTTTTCTGATAAAAATCAATCGATTTGCCAAATTTGAAAATTAGAAAATTTTGAAAATATTTATGCTTACTTCCAATTTTAATGGAGACTATGTTTTTTTTTCGTGTCTTGTTCAAATTTTAAGTTTTATTGGTATCCGCGACGAAGTTGAGTCATCCTTCGGGAATTATCGGCGTTGTGTTATTTCGTTCCCGGCAGTGGAGTATAGCAGCACTCGAGTGTAAAAATGCTTGGCGAAGAATTATTGTTGTTTGCGTTTGATTGTGGACACGGATTCATTAACAGGTGTATTACAAATGAGTAGTAGGCCGAAAAGAATTAACGATGTTCCGCACCACCACATCAATGATGTTGATTCACCAAATACAAGGAAACCAATTAATGCCTGAAATCATTGATACAAGTGTCAAGTGCAATCAAGTTTCTATTTCCTGCGAATCAACAACAGTGATTATTATCGATATCAATTATTGATCAAAGTTAATAAATTTTAATTCACTATAAATAAACACAAGTTTTTGGAAAAATAAAAAATTGATTCCAATAAAATTCATTACTTGTAGACAAAAATTCTTTTTCGTGTTTTGTTTTTGTTTTTTTGCTTTTTCTCGTATTTTTACCACAGTGAACAGTGAATTTTAGAAAAAAAACTGCAAAATTGAAAATAAAGGAATACTTTTTGTTTCTTTTAAATTAGGATATAATTTTTAATTCAAAAAAACAAGTTTAATGATGAAATCTATGAAGAAGAAACTTCACGTGTCGAAAGGTGAGTTCCCTGTATTTTTGATAACTTTTTATTGAAGTAACGATTTCAAGTGGTCATAAATCAAAAAGCAATTACAATTCTTTTGTAATTCGAAAAATCCACTTCTAAATAAAATTGAAATTTAAAAATACTGTTAAAAAACAATTTTGATAATTTTCTTTTTAAAATGCAAATTCGTCTTCGTTCGTAATAAATCAATTAAGAAAAAATATTTTTTCTTTGCAAAAATTCTTTTGTATTTTTTACATTCTCATCACATGAGAAAGTATTTGAAATAGAATTAAAGTGAAATAGAAAAGAAATAAAAATTAAGACAAAATGGAAAAGAAATAGAAATTAAGACAAAATGGAAAATAAATAGAAATTAAGACAAAATAGAAAAAAGTAGAAATTAATTTTGAAAATAAAATAATACTAAGGACAATGTAATGCAAAAACTAAGGACATTGAAAAGGAAAGACCTTAAGGATTGATGACCTTCGGTCGGCATCAATGGCCCGTGAACAATGGTCGTAAAGTTCCCAATTGTCAAAGCATATCATAAATAATTTATAGAAACTAAATTTAACGAACGAAACAAGTTTTTTCTATTTTGATACTCGCGAATATAATTTTTTAAAAATAAGAAAGATATTTTTAACTCGATAAAATAGTGAAAAATATTTCAAAATTATAATGATAATTTTCAATTTTGCAACTGTTGATTTCACTAGGCAGAAAAAAATAGTAATTTAATAAAATGAAATTAGATAAAAGTAGATTTTATACGAATTAAAAAAGATTGTACGCATCAGATAGTAACCGGTGAAATGATTGTAAGAATTCACTAACTTGTGACTAGAGTTGGGAAATTAGTATTAAGTACAAACTCTACACGTTAAACAGTTTAGATGAAGTATGTATTGTGTAAATCATAAATGTGTTTCAGAACATGATTCTGATTACATACATATATACGTTTTATAGGATGTCGAGGAACAACTTTTATCAACAAAGTACCTTTCACTCTTTCTCTCTCGCTCCCTCCGCACTTAAAGAGCGTTATACACACGAATAAATCGACACGAAGTGAATAAATTAACTCCCGATGAATTTACTTCATGAACGAGAGATATCAATTTTTTTAAAGAGAAGTAAATACATCAAAAATTGACAAATTTTCTATTTTTTCTTATCCCCTACTGTTCAATATTTGAATAACGTAATCAGAAATCTTGTTCACCACACTGATATGAAATGAAATTTTATTATGATCGCGGAAAAATTCAGAGAGTTGAAATATAGAACATATCTATAATTTATTCCTAGTCGAGAAGTCTCAGATTTCCGGAAATAAATCCTTGTCAGAAAGCGGAAAGGAACGTTAAGTATACATAGACGACGGCAATTATTTGAAAAATCTCCTGAATATATAAAATAACAAAAAGTAAAATAAATAGCAATTACAGTATAGCTCATCCTATTCAATTATAAAAAGAGAGATTTTTAAATGCATTTAAATTATAAAAACCAGTTTTATAAACACTTTATCGAAATGCTTTGTCTCTGATGACTAAATGTAAAATTATGCAATTGAAGAAAAATACATGAAAAAAATGACTAACTAAAGATTACAGTAGTCTTCAGTAATTTATAATTTTCTTTTTATAAATTCAAAATTTGTATTCAAAGAAAAGGGCGCTTTGAATAAAAATTTTACTTTTAATTAAGAATTTTTGGTCTAATTGAAAAATTAAAAATTCGGGGAATTAAACGAAAAAAAATCTGAGTTAATAATAGTTATGTCTTTGGGACAAATTAAGCTGGTGACGGCAGTGTCTGACACTGATGGTTGATAACGTTTCATGATAACCAGATAACGTGAGATGTGTCTCATCATAAACTGTAAACACGACGAGGAATAAATTTGATTTTCGACTTACCGAGCAAAAATAGTTTGTCGCTGCGCTTGCCACCGTTGCCGGCAACGAAGATTCACTTCCTTGTAAAGCTTTCACGAAAAAAGTGCAACCCGCAGTGTTACTTCCAATCATAAGTATTAAAAAACAAATCTTCGGCAATAAGTAAATCTGAAAATCAAAAATAGTAATTATTTTTTAATGATAGATGTTTTAATTTTTTTCCGGCTACTTACCAAAGGTACGATATCAAAACTCCCTGCGACTTTGCCAAATAAACTACCGGTCGTTGCTAAAATTCCGGCAAACACAGCCAAATGAATTTGCGGTCCTTTACCCTCCATATGGATTTTTTTTTTCTGATAATCTTCTTCAAATTTATATATTAGAATGTTTAATACGAATTCGTATTTAATATCCGGTTTTCCAAAAAAAGGTAAAGTAGTTTCCAAAATTTCGATTGTAATTCAAAATTCCTGTGATTACTTCATTCGGTCTTATCTCGACAATTTCGTATTATTTACATTCGTGTAATATTAAAACTGCAATTTGACAAGAATCACAAGAATAAATGTTTCGCTCCGTTAATTCCAATAAAATGGACCTTTAGTGTGGTTATTAAAAAATATTTCCGTTGCCGTCACGCAGGAAATAATTCATCTAATTAATCTATCTGTAATTGAACAAGCAATTTTTATTTTTCGAAATAAAAACATTCTTTGATAACGGGCGAAAGAGCCATCACTTTAAAAAAGTTAACCTCAAAATTTACCCCAAATGTCAAAGTATCCACAATTGTGACAATAAACGAAATATTTACTTGAACTTCAAAGTTCATTGACAAAATTCACCTTTATTTTGTACTTTCAAATTAAAACATTGTTAGAAAGTAGTAAAGCAACAAATTTATTTAAATGATAAAAAACCGGATCTTACCTCGAAATATCTAGAAAGGTTCCTGCCTCCTGTCGTTTCTGCAAATTATGAAATTATGACTCATTGCCATATTATAGAACTGATATCAATTATCTGACATGTTTAATTGTTGTCACTTATAAATATTGTTCGAAAAAAGAAACAAAAGATTACAATAAAAAATTAGAAACGAAAAAAAAGTGTGTGTGTGAGTATTTCTACAGGTAGTTTTGTTGGACGGTTCGACAGTGGTTTTAAAAATGGCGGCCGACAGGTAGACGTTGAACGTGCGCGCTGGCATTTTCTCGTTTTTCCAATGCATTTTATGGCGTTTAAAATTTCTTAAAATGTGACAATGGATGTGGATGTTGTTATCATATTCGTGGATAAACAATGCCACTAATTCGAGAGCAGGAAACATTTAGTCTCGGTAATAATCCGATCTTGCACATTCCGGTGCTCTTTAGCGTGAAAAAAAGGACGAGAACAAATACTGACAGAACTTGTATTTCTCTAAAGGACATGTGCGAGAAATTCCATACCAGCTTTTAATGTAAGTAAGTCTTTTGTTATCTATCCTCTGATTTAATTATCATTCTCCTGGCCACAATTGTCCAGTGTTTCTCGATTTCTCTTTAGGGCTTATTTATTCAGAATTTCAATTTTTCAATCACTGCATTTTTTTACCGTTTTACGAGAGTTTAGTTGGTTCAATAAGAATCAATAGGACCCCTGACTATCAATAAAATCCCATTTCTCTTTAGAATATTATGATCCCTATTGTTTGTGTCTGTAAAAAAGCAGTAAATCATGTTATCTTTAACAATCGTTCGGAAATTGTGTACGAATTAAAGCAAATGGAACGTGGGAATATTTTATTGTTAAAAATGGTATTTAAACACCGGTGGAAATAAATAAATAAATAAAATTCGTTTTTCATTTTTTGAAATATTTTAAATATTAATTTTAAAAAAAGAATGTAATAAAGGAAGAAGCTTTTTTTTATTTCGTTCTATAAAATTCTGGAATATGAAGAAAGACGTCTCAATAAATTATTAACGTCCTAAAAGGGTACGCATCAAAGAAAGAGTTTACATTGCAAATTTAAAAACGTTGAAAGTATATTTTTTATTCCCGGCTTTATTCTTTAAAGTTACCTTTAAATTTTATTTATAAAATCTCTTTGAATGAATCGAGTTATGTATACTGAACATACACATGTGATACGGAAATTTTACATCAAACACTCATAAAACATGTAGAAGATTTAGAATTGATAATACAGCGAAAATAACTCAGTTTAGTTTTTCCTATATGAGAATAATTGTCCAAAGAAGTACGAATAATTTGAAAAATTAATTTTTACTGCAGATTTTCAAGGAGTATTTTAAAATATTAAACTAATCGTGAATTAATAATTTTATCTTGTTATTAAAAATGAATAAGATAAATAAAATAGTCTCATCATTTGATGAGACGTAATTTCGATTCGACTAGATGTTTCGAGACTAGACGAAAAAAAAATCTTCTCGAAAAGTTATTTAAATACTAAAAAAACACACATTTACAAGAAGGAGATTAAACAATTTTTAATGATTTTTATTTTTTCAAAAACAGGTAAATACAGTTGCAGAAATAATAAATATATAGCCATGGAACATTCGGATTTGGTCGCGGAGATGGTGCACGTGGAGAGGCTGACGACGCAGGAGAGGTTGCATCTCGCTCGTCATCGGCGACTCCAACAACTTAAAGTTTGGCGACAAAGGGAAAAGGAATGGCTTCGTCATCAGACACGACACACGAGCAATAAACGGCACATATTTTTCAATGACAGTGTCATGTTACTGGAAGCTGCAGCGAGGAATGACATTGATGAAGGTATAGACTTTTAAACAACAATCTCGATGATTGAAATTACAAAAAAAAGCTGTATTTTTTTCTTCAGAAACAAAAATTCAGGGTTGCACTTTTTCCCCAGTTTGTAAAATACTTTTACAAAATTTAATATAACATTCTCTCTGAGAGTATAAACCTTGAAAAAACATGGAAAAATCAAGGAAATTTTGATTGGTATCCCAGAAAATTATTGTGTTTATTTTTGAAATCTAATTTTACTTAAATATTTCAAAATTAATTCAATTTTTAAAAAATTGCGTTTACAATTTTCGCGATGAACTATTCAAAAGGTTTTAATTTGAAATTTTGTAAAATTTCAATTTGCAATGAATTATAATTAAATAATAAAAATTTCACAGGAATTCTATTATTTACAAATTTTTTATAAATTTCTTCACAATAATTTAATTATTTTCATAAACAATAAAATTCTCTAAAGATTTAAAATTTCTTTCATAAATAATAACTCATCGCAGAATTTCAATTATTTTTAATTTAATTTCAATGGAATTTCTCGAAAAATGTAATTATTCTTAACAAAATTTATTAAAATTCATCGAAGAAATTCAAATATTATAAAAAAGGTTTCCTATAATTTATTTCTTAGAATTTAAGTATTATTGTCAATACATTTTCAATTAAATTTCTTGAAAGAATTAAATGGTTTTCAAAAATTTTAATGAAATTCTTTTTAACAATTCAATTTTTTTTCAAAATAATTTTAATAAAATTCTTCGTAGAAATTTAATGAATTTTAATAATTTATCAAAATTCAATGATTTTCAATATCTACTATTTCAATAAAATTTCACAAAAGAATTCAATTATTTAAAAAGATATATTAAAATTCGTCTCAAGAATTCAATTATTTTCAAAAGTAACATAATTCTTCGCAGAAATTCAATTATGATCAAAAGTTTGAATAAAATTCTCGTCAAAATTTCAATTATCTTTATAAATAATAAAATTTGTCTTCAAAATTCAATTATTTTCAAAAACTTTAATAAAATTCTTGGCAAAATTTCAATTATTTTCAAAAGTCTTTTCTCAATTCAATCAAATTTTTTTTACAGAGATTCAATTATTTTTAATATAATTTTAATCTAATTTCTCGATAAATGAAATTATTCTTAAAAATTTTATTAAAATTCGTCAAAAGGATTTTAATTACCTATTTAAAAATTTGTTGATGAAATTCTTTGTGAGAGTTCTATTTTAAGACATATTCAATTCTTCAATAAATTATTTATTTTTGTATTTAAATAATTGAATTCTCGTAGAATTTTCTAATAAAAATTGATTTAAATATGAATTTCAGTTAAAATTTTAGATAATAATTGAATATTAAACTCTCTAAATTTGAATTAGTAAAAATGGTTTCTAATTTGAATTATGTAGTTACGGACTTTTTGCTTTTGAATTAGCAGATTTTACTAATAAATAGTCGTTTTTACCAGTTTAATAGTAAAATTTACTAATTAAAAAGCAAAAAGTCTAATTCCAATTAGTAAATATTTTTACTAATTCAAATTTAGAGAGAAAATATTATAGCGTGAATTTTTAGAAATAATTGATTTATGAAAAGGTTTCAAATTATAATCTTTGAAAGTTTGAAATTTTCATACTTTTAACTGCAAATTGTGTAGATTTAATTTTTTTGAAAAAGTTTCATGGAACTTTTTTGAAATTATTTGAAGTTTTTATTTTCTAATATATATATTTGATTGAAGTATTTCCGAATAATCGATAAAATTTCGTAAAATTGAATTGTAAACAAAAGGATTTGAAAATTTTCAGAGAAATTTTTCAAAAATTATTAAAACTAATTGTTTGAAAAAAGAATTTTAGTTAAAACATTTTGAAAATAATTGAATTAAAAGGATGAAAGTAATTTTTATGAAGTTACAGTAACAATATTCTTTAATAATATAAAATAATGATTTTATCAGTCAGTCATCTTTAATTATTATAAGTTGTTTAATTTCAAAAAGACTTGAATTTGAAAATCTTAATTCTTATGAGAAAAAAAATTTTAGATCATTGGATCATATTAGATCATACTAAACCAAAATTGGACATTAATAATTATTTTCAGTATTTTATACACAATATTAAAAGAAACTAAATTATTTTTAGTGAGAAGACTGCTAAAGAAGGGAGTGAATCCGGATTCAACGAATGAAGATGGTTTGACGGCGCTTCATCAATGTTGCATTGACGACAACGAGGAAATGCTGAAACTTCTCATTGAATTTGGTGCAAATGTGAATGCCGAAGATAGTGAAAAATGGACACCATTGCACGCAGCCGCCACTTGCGGGCACCTTCATCTTGTCCGATATTTAATTGCTAAAGGTGCAAATCTTTTGGCTGTTAATGCCGATGGAAATATGCCGTACGATATTTGTGAGGATGAGAAAACGTTAGATTGCATAGAAGGTAAATGGAATTTTTTTTCCCCTACGAAATTCTGTAGTGGAGAAAAATTAAGATAAAAAATTATTATTTTTCCGAAAATTAATTCTAGATTTTTCCTAAAGTTAATTTTTAGGAAAATTACTTTGATTTTTATTCTAAAATGTTTGTTTTCATTTGTGAAGGCGAAATGGCGAGAAGAGGAGTGACACAGGAACTTATTGACGACACAAGGGCTTCGATAGAAGTTCAGATGCTTCGTGATTTACAAAAACTCGCGTCCATGGGAAACGATTTGGAATATAAAGATCATCAAGGTGCTACGCCTGTAAGTTCGTTAATTTAATTCGTTTTCTTTAATTCTTATTTATTATACCTAGACTTTTATTTTATTAGACTATAGAATTATTATAGACAATTCCCAGAAAATTTCACTGGAAATAATTGAAATTTTCTAAAGTATTTTATTAAAATTTTCGAAAATAATTGAATTCGTTTAAGGAATTTTATTAAAACTTTTTAAAGTACATCCGAGGCCTGAATTCCAACAGAAATATACATATAGCAAAAAATATTTTCTTAAACATTTGCGGAATTACTTGCGAAACGTATTTTAATAAGTAAAAATTTACGTAAATGAAAGTGTAGTTTAATATTCGCAAATAATTTTAAAAATATTATTTTTAGCTTCATATAGCCTCAGCTAATGGTTACTTGCGAGTAGTTGAATTTCTGCTTGATCAACACGTTTCCACAGACATTGAGGATAACGACAAATGGCAACCAGTTCACGCTGCGGCCTGTTGGGGACATGTAAGATAATTGCTAATATTAACAAAAATTATTTTCGAAAAAGAAAAATAGTCTTAATTTACATTTCTTTTTTCACTTTCAGTTAGAAGTTTTAGAATTGTTAGTACAGAATGGAGCTGATCTCAATGCGAAGAATAAACACGACGAAACACCCGCGGGTAAAATTTTTGTTTTTGTCTTCGGAGAGAGAAAATAATTGTAGAAGGTTAATTTATTTTGTAAATATTTATTTTGTAAATTTATTTTGTAGATATCTGCGAGGATCTTGAAATTAGGGAACGAATTATGGAATTGAAGACGGAACAGGAGAGTAAACGTCTTCGCGAGGCTCAAGGTAGAAGGATACGCAGATCGCAGAGTATAAACACCAGGACGCAGAGCGTTCGGAGAACGTCTATAAGAGACAAGGTCTTGACGACGAAAAAAGACGCCCAAGAGGAGGCACGACTGCGAATTCAAGCTCAGCAGGTAAAATATTTCTAATTTGTTTTATTTTCAGAAATATATTTTATCTTATAAATATTTCCAATTTTGTTTTATAGGCAAACTATTTTTTTTATAGGTAAACTATTTTTTTATAGGTAAACTATTGGTTTTATTTTCAAAAAGGTATTTTATTTCACAAATATTTCCAATTTTGTTTTCTATCTTTTTTATTTTTTTTAGACGTACGTATCGATGGCGGCACCAGGGACAAATGCACCAGCGACGGAAAGTAATGGTGAAACGAGGGAAGTTCCAGACGATGACACCGATTCGTCAGTTGTTGCGTCAAACGTTCGCAAAGGACCAGAGGGAAAAGACAACGATTCCTTTTTACATGAGGATGTCGATAAAGACTCAGGTACATTACGAGGCTCTATTTGCTTGCATTGGTTGTGGTTTAGTATGATATTTTTGTGGTAATTGGTAGCTTATTTTATGACCAAACGAAAAAGGAGAAATAATTTGTATTTGTCCTTAAAAAAAAAATGAAAATTAATTTGTCTTCACGACAACGGCACAAAATGTTAAGAGCTTACAAAAAGAATTTTCTGACTCTTTTTAAAGTACAATTTTTTTCATTTAAATTGAATCTAATTTTTTCCAATTTTACTTTGGGGAACTTTTTTCCTTATTTGCAATTTCCGTTTGTGAATAAAAATTCAAAATAAAATACTTGAAACGTGTCAGAAAATGAAATTTAACTTAAGAAGACTGAAATAATGTTTATTATTGAAAATATTGAGTTTTCTTAAGTATATTACAGTATTACCGATAGGCGGGTATAGTAAATAAAAAAAGTTTTGCTAAATATTGGCTAATTGGGAGTAAAGTGTATGTATCGATTCACTATTTTGTAGCAATTTGCTAATGTGTGTAAATACATTATTGAATGCAATCTATTAATTATCAGTCATTTATCTGTAATTTTTTTATTCCATTTCTGCGTGCTCCCGATAAAATGATTCTGAGGTCAGTTTTTTATGTGACTTTCCTATTTCTTTAAAACTTTATTCAAGATTCGTAAACATTTTTTTTTTTTAAACTTGTGTACTGTGTTTTTGCTACATCAACTGACTTCTCATACGATTACAAGCAAATGCACTTTTTAAACTATGAAACATTAATCTTCACCATAGGATTCTCGTTAGTGTTAGGTCTTTGTAAATTTCTTAAGTCTAGAGAAAATTCAATTAATAATAACAATAATAATATAATAGAAAAATAATCAAAAAAGAAATGTAAAGTACTGTAGATTATTAAGTATAGTGAAAAAAAATCATTTCCAGAATATAAAATTCATAATTAAAGTTATTTAGAAAGGCCTAATCAATTGGAATTGATACTACAAGTAGAGCATTTTACTCATTATAGTCATTACATTTTCTTCTAATTAATATAATGAACTGTTAGAAATAATACTACGCCACGTAATAATTTAAGGGAATCGGTAATTTTATTTTGAATTCATTTTGAAATTATTTTACTCTTGTAAAATTTATCGTAAAAGTGTTTATTTTAACGATAAGTTTACCTGGAAATTGTAGAAAATTTTTAAAGGAAGGTAAAATTACAAAATGAGTTTAAAATAATATTTCGGAACATTATAAAGGCATGTTTATTAAATTCTAGATTAACTAGATTTTCTAAAAATGTCTATAATAACGACCAAGAAGTATTCGAAAACTTTCATATTTAAAAACTGATAATAGAAATTAGTTTGGAATGTTTTTACAATATTATTATACATTTGAGAAAATTTATCCTAAAAGCTTACGATTTGTATGGCGTAGATTTTCGATTTTTTTTTTGTAAATTTTGCTATTGTACTTATATCTTTATTACCTACTTGTATTACAAAGACTTTTTTATCAAAGATCATATAATTGATTTTTAAAACATATCAGTCAAATGCTAAAATTGGATGGCTTTTAGTATTTTTGTCTATCGAGCATCCTCTACTTTATTGTTCTTATTGAAATAAAGACTTTTAGTACTTTTAATTAGGCCTCGGATATTATGACTTTTTCGACTATTTTCAAAAAAAGGCAAATTTTTTTCAAATTTATTTAAAAAATGCGACTTTTTCGACTAATTTTAATAAAATGCGACTATTTCGAATTTTATTCTACAAATTACAATAAAATACCACTTTCTTGGTATAAAATGCTACTTATCTTGATTTTCAAAATGTGAAAAATAACTAAAGACAAATATTTTCTTCTAAATTTTCTTTTCATTTTTCTGCAAGTTTTTAGAATGATCGAACTTTCATAAAATTAACTTAAAAATATCTGAATTTTATATTGTACTTTATGCGTTTTTTTTAATAATTCTATTCTCAAAGAACTGTCTGAAAATTATTTAAAAAAATTATTTAGAGAAGAATACTTGAGTTAAAAATTAATTAATTACAAATTGTAGACAATAATTAAATACTAGAAGAGTTATAGTAGAAATTTTTGTAAATAATTAAATTTTAAAAGGTTTCAAATTGAAATTTTTCGAGGTTTGAATTATGAATAATTTTAATTAAAAATTATAAAGAACTTAGTTTTTTTAAAAATTGTAATTCTATTTTTTTTTCAAATTACTCAATTACAATTAGTAATTTTTTGGAATTTTTAAATATATATTCAAATAAAACCTTAGTTAAATAATCAAAATTTTGTAAAGTTGAATTAAAAACAATTGAATTTTAAATTGTATTTAATGTAAACTTTTATTATAAATTCTATACTCAAAGAACTTTCTGAAAATTATTAAAAATAATGTTAATCAATATTAAAAATAATTGATTTAGAGAAGAAAATTTGAGTTAAAAATTAATTAATTAAAAATTCTAGAAAATAAATGAATATTGAAAGAATTATAGTAGAAATTTTTAGAAATAATTAAATCGAAGGTTTCAAATTAAAAATTTTGAAGGTTTGAATTTTGAATAATATTAGTTAATTATTAGTAATTTTTTGGAAATTTTAAATATATATATATATTGAATTTAAATATTTTGAATGATTGAAATTTCGTGAAATTCAATTGATAATAATTAAATTTTGTATTTTAATTGAACTTTGCCTTTTTGAATAATTGAATTCTTAAAGAACTTTTTTCAAAATTGTTAAAAAATAATTGATTAAGAAAGAAATTTTAGATTAAAATTCTAGAAAATAATTGAATTTTGTAGAAGTTACAGTAGAAATTTTTAGAAATAATTTAATTTCAAAGTTGTCTGAAATTGAAATTTTAAAAAATTTTAACTTTTGTGGAAAAATATATGTAAAAGTATTTAAATATTTATAGAAAAAAAGTATTAAAACTTTTGAATAATTTTAATTAAATATTAAATAATAATAATAAATAACGATGAAGAATACAAATTCTAGAAAATAATTAAATGTTGACAGAATGATAGTTGCAATTTTTTAATTATTAAACTTTCAGAAGGTTTGAATTTGAAATTTTTTTAAATTTCAACTCCTATGGAAAAATACATTACTATAAGTATTTAAATATTTATTTAAAAAGTTTATTGAATTTTTGGATAATTCAGAAATTCTGAAAAAATTAGGTTTTTAAAATTTTAATTATATTTTTTAGAAAATTAATTAAATAAATTTATTTTGAAGAATTTCACTACAATTTTTTTAAAATATTCGAAAAATGTGAGAAATTGTGAAGAAATTTGGAAAAATAGTTCAATAAGAATTGAATTTTAGAAAATTCAAGTTATTATTATGGAATAAGTAGAAAACTTCTGAAAATCAAAATAAAATAAATGACTTTTGCAATTTTTTTCGTACTTTTGCATCGATTGAAAGCTTTTAATTGCGTCTTAAGTCGATCCAAGGCCTTCTTAAAGTTTTTCTATGTAAAAAGATTTTTAAAAATCAAAGACTCGATTTATAAAAATTTCAAAAATTCCAAATGCTAGTAGTTTTTTTGGTAAAAAATAATTTTCGAACGTCTAATTCTAAAAAATGTATTTCCAAGGAATGAATCAATTTAATATCGCTCTAAAAGTTAGAACAGATTTAAAATTCTACTTTTTATCGAAATGTATAGTTCATTTTTGCGTATGGCAACCCACTTTATGCATTTGACTTTATATTTAGTTTATGCAATTTAAAATTGTGCCTTTCTTTATATATAGTAAAATTTTAAATTGTACTTTTTTGACTACAATTTTTTTTGAAATTGTAGTTTAAAAATTACAAAGATTTTCAAGACTGCTCACTTTGTGAATGTTTGTGTCAAAGTCCAAACTCTTGGAAAGAAATTGTTCATTTCCATTTTCGAGTATTAAGATTTTAACAGAGACTGAAACAAACAATTTCATTTGTATTTAAAGCCTGAATTTCTCTATTATTATAATTTCTTGAATATTATATAATATCTAAAATAGAAATATTTTTTCTCATTCAATAAATTCCACTGCTAGTGCATGACGCAAAAAGAAAGTAGATTTTTTTTGGGAGATTAAAAGCAGAGTCGCGTTAAATAAAAAAAATAAATAAACAAATGCATGATAATGGGCAGAAAAAAGGCGGTGAAGTTAAAGTAAAAAGAAAATGAGAGAGCATTTAGACAAGTAGAGACGTGGAGGTAAAAGGATAGCTTTAGATTTACATGTTTGCCTCGGCAGTCGCAGGGCCTGACCCGCCTGTCGGTAGCCAGCAGCCAATTTATACAACAGACAACGATGCTAATGGCAAGATCAACATACACGTGTCTGTAGTTTTCGTCAAGTCGTTGTCGGACCTGAAGAAACAAAGGGCCCAGAATCGACATTCAACTGGTAATACACTCGATGCAAATGGTAATGGAGTTTCCGTTCCAGTTTCCACCATCTCCAATCCTGACATTAAATCCGATGACTTCCAGAGATTCAGAGGTAACACCAGCGAGATCCTCGGGGATAATAATTCAGAAAAGAACTGCTGTCTTGTCATGTAAGTCTTTTAGTATTTATAGTAATTATAAATAATATGCTGTTCTTGCGAATTCAGTGCATGCTACTCGAAGTTCTGTACAGTTTTTTTTTAATTTTTAATTTTTACTCCGAGAAGTATTGCTCTTTGCACCAAGACTCAATGTTAATCATTCATTCCAACTCATTTAAGTCTGAATAATAGAAAATATTGGGAAGTAATTGTGCGCTTTACAAAAAAATGTAATTCTTCGCTAATTAATTATTTTCGAAATCGTCTTTCGAAAAAAATTCTATGTAATTGTCTTAATCCACCAGTTAAAGAAAATTGTCTTCGTCAATAATTCTAAATTATTTTCTATTTTAAAAAATAAATTTCCAATTTATTTTCTACTTTTAAAAATAATCTATTAAAAATAGTTTATTTTTATCGAAATTTTTCTAAAGAAAATTTTGTTTCTTTTAGAAATTATAAAGAGAAATTTTTATTTGTTGTATTTTTTTGTAAAAAAAATACTGTTAGAAGAAAAACTTTTCGGAGTTGTATAAATTGAAGACAAATAAGTTTAGAATTGTATCCAATAGAATTCTAATATCTAATTGTAGAAAATGAAACGAAAAAAAGTATTAAACTGTGTTTTTCAAAAGAAAAAAAAAGGTTGTGAGGAAAAAGTACTTAAGTGCCAGCGCAAGTTTTCTATAATATATTTGTTAAAATTATAAAGAAAAGGTGGATGCAATTTTTTTTATTATTCTAATATAATAATGTGTGCGGTATAAATTGCTTGACGAGAGAAAATCCACATGAATGACGCACAGAAAAATGAAAATAGGATTTAAATTATTTATATTTTTTTTCTCGAATGAAAATAGTTCCCAGTTTGTAAATATTTAATTTTATTTTATTTATTCATCATCGTCATTTATATCATCACTTTCATCGATTTGTGTTCTATATAATTTTTTTGCGTCTAGCAAATCTACATTTTGTATATTTCATTTTATCGAAATATTTGTCTCAAGAATTTTATTTAGAAATTATAAATCTCGAAACTATGAAATAGTTTTATTTGTTGATAAAAAAGAAGAACTAGTAAAAATTTACTACTTCTGTTTCGAACATTATTTTTGAATCGCAATAAGTATATTTTTAAAAAAATATGTACTTGGACTTTTTTCAATATTAATATTTTATTTAAAATTTTATAATTTAAAAAAATTTGTTTAATATATTTTCTGAAAAATAATTTTAAAAAATAAAGTACTACTGAAAGTTTTTGAAAATGAAACATTCCTATAATAGAAAATTTTATTTTAAAGAGAGAGACTATGCTCGTTTTTGATAAAATATTTCTGTAGATTAAAAGCTCAAAGCCTAATAGTGATTATTGATACATTCCTTAAAAAAAACTAGTGTACGAAATAGTTACAATTTATATAGCACATAAATAATTCCTATGAGAAAAAAAACTAAAAATCAAAAAAATTTACTGTTTTTTATTGTATATCTCGATATATACTTTTTGCACAAATAATTTGTTGTTCAATATTATGCACATAGTTTTGTCGTCGTTATAAGAAAAAAGATTGCTCATTATGGCAAAAAACAAAAAGTGGAATTTAAATTTCTTATAAAAATTAATGTATTCTTCATGTTTTTTTCCATTAATCGCAAGCGAATATGAATAGTAAAATGCCAAGTAAATGTGGAATACCATGCCAATATTGTGATCGACGAGTGTACGAACTTGTATTTTTATAGAAAATATTTAGAACTATCTAGTATTTAAATGAAAAAGTCGAGATTTTATTCTTTTAATAGAGAAACAAAAAATTGTAATAGTTGTAAACTGCAATTTCACTTGATTTTTTTAGTCAATTTAATATTGTAACGATTGAAATAGAAATCAAAATTCTTTTTTCTATTTCAATTGATTTTTTCTATTTAGAAAAAAATTCCCTTTCTTTAAAATTGAAAACAAATTTGTAAAATTTTATTTTCGCTAATTCAGAGAAGAAAGAAAAGACTTTCGTAAATTTTTGCTTCAAAAATAGAAAACGGAATTTTTTTCTTTACAAATTTCGTGGAGGCCAAAAAAACCGAAATAATGAAAGCAAGGCTATTTTTTACTTATAGGACATTTTTTTTAGTACAATGGCCTTTAGATAATTTTTTCAGCACGCTTTTCTGATTAAATTAATTAATAACAAGCTTATATACACCAAAACTTGGCCAAAAACTGAAATTTTACTGCCAGGTAATAAAGAGAAAAGAGAACTATATTCTGTAGTGAATTATACTTTCTAATGCTCTTTAAAAAACAAAAAAAAGAAACTAGAAAAAAGTATTTCTCATCTTATTAAATTCATTCAAAATCTTGTTTACTCTGTCACATCGCAACGAAGCAAATTTATTATTAAAAGAAAATACTTTTGTCACATTGATATATAGACTCTAGAAATTCGTCCATTAGCTCTCGTAATGTGTTTAATTATCGGCAAAATAAACTTATTGCAATAGTTACTAATTAAGAGATAAAAAAAAGAGACTGCGAATTTATTTAGAAATATTGTCGTATATTTGTGTATCAAGTTTATCAACTCTGGGGCGACACTAAAGTTTATTCTTGTTTCAAAATTTTCAGATAGCTGGCGAACAATCGCCGGCGGTTCATTTACTTATATTTTCAATAAAAAATTACTTACCAATAAAATTGATAAGTATTTTAAATGAAAAAATTAATTATTAAATTTATTAGGAATAAAATTTAAAATTCAAAATTAAAATTTGAAATTTGAATATTTCGAAATGAAAATATGATTCAAATTGTAAAAATTAAAAAAGGAATAATTATTACGATTTTCTTTTTAAAAATATATATTTTCCAAGTGATTTGATATTAGGGAATTTATAATTATTGTCCGAAAGGGACTAAAAAAAAAAATTTTTTGATACAATTTATCAGTGATTGAAATTATAAAGGAATGTCTAAAAAAATGTGATAATAAAAAAAAATATGAAAGACAATTCTCTTTTTGATTCGGTGAAAAAAAAATGTATTATAAAAATGTATCGCCCCAGTTTAGAAAGTTTATTAGAATTGAGAATGTTTCTAAATTATATATGTGCGATTTAAGTCATTTTTAAAAGTATAAATATGAAATTAGAAAAGTATCTTTATCCAATCATTCACATATTTCATTGTAAACACAATTTTCTAATAAGAATATTGAATAAGTTGCTTGGATTGTATAGTGCCAAAAAAATTTTTGAAACTTCACCGCACTAATATTTCATTTTTTTATACTAATTATCGATTAAGTAGTTTCACATTATTATCTCGAATTTTCTCTGACAATAAATCTTTGACGCAAAATCAAAATTTTTCAAATTAGAAAAATTCGCTTTTTTTTACCATACTGTCCTCGCATCTTATTGGATATTATTATTATTATACAAAAATATCATTCGAAATGATGCCAAAAAAGAAATCTTTTTTAAAAAATATCTACTTTTAATATTTACAATATATCGGAGTTGGATAATAAATTGCAAAATTGGACGAATTTGAAAATTTTGAATTACGAAGTGAATTGGTAAATTTTTATTTGTTATTTAGTATTTTTAATTTTAATCATATTTATACATAATATTTATTTCAGAAAATATATATAAATTGTATGTATATTTATTATTATTTTTAGTTATTATTTCAAGGTTCTTACGAATGAATTAGTATTAATTATTTAATTATTTAATTGCTATTAATTATTCAATTAGTATTAATTGCTAATTATTTATTCAACAAGTATTAAATGCTATTAATAATTATTCAACTAGTATTAATTACTGTTAATTATTTAATTAGTATTAATTACTATTAATTATTTAACTAGTATTAATTACTATTAATTATTTAAATAGTGTTAATTACTATTAATTATTTAAATAGTGTTAATTACTATTTATTATTTAATTAGTACTAATTATGATAAATTATTTAATTAGTATTAATTATGATTAATTATTTGAATAGTATTTAATGAATTAGTAGTAATTAATAAGTAATTCAATTTTTTTTATTTTTGTTAAATCCAACTCTGATTTTAGTCATCGAGTGGATACTGTACTCGACGATAAGCGGTCATGAAATTTAATTATAAATGCAAAGTAAGCATCAAATTAAATTAATTTCTCTTTATCTAAGTATAAAAATTTTTGTTTAAAAAATTTTTTCTGCGCTTTCTTCAAAAAAACTGTCTGACTGACTGCATTTCATTATATACACTTAATAACGTATTGTATATATATTACTGTGCATTCTCTACATATAATATATTATATACCAAATATTCTGAAAATAAGGTCTTTTTATTAATTCATTCATTAAAAAAAATTTTTTTTAAATATATAATATAAAAAAAAAATTAAAAAAAAAATTTTTTTTAATTGTTTTTGTTTTATTTGATTTCTTCTTTATATTTCTATTTTATTCTTTCTTCTTTTTTCTAGTGAAGAAAATGCTTTTTTTAAAATTAGTGATTCTCATAATTATAATTTCTTTTTTCTTCCAAGAAAAATTAAATCTGTTATAAAGAAGAGAAAATTATTATAAATAAATAATTAGTTATAATTAGAGATAATTTTTTGCCGTCGGTGATCAAGATGAAATTATGTATGAAAATTTCAGTGTAATTGTTAATTTTGGCAATCGACGAAAGTGTTTACTTTCATTTATATTTGTATTTATATCTATATATGTGAGTATAATTCCGTGCTACATAACTTTTGCCATTGACCTAGAAGCACTCGCGAAACGTTGTGTAGTTATCGCATTGATCGTTCTCCGCTGAAATACACATCGTGAAAATTACGCGTTACTTTTGGATTTGAATTTAATGTTTAAAAATTTCAGGAAAAATAAATCTAGTCAGGTTACGATTGTTGAAAATATTCTCTAAATGAATATCGAAAAAAAAAGAAAAAAAAAATTGATAATAATTCGATAAAAAGTTAAGGGAAGAAAATTGTTTAGTTTGTAGTGTAAAATTAAAATTCTTCTTTGCGAATATTCGAGTGATAGTAACAAAACTAGAGAAAATCAGAAGAAAATAAAAAATTCGAAAATTGTGGAATAATTCAAAAATCGGGAAAAAAATTCGAATTTCTTGAGAAATAATAGGTATTTTATTATTTTTCCTTGTACTAATATTGTTTTTGTTGCAGGAAATTGAATCGGTGATAATACAATTTAAAAATGAATCCTTTAATTAGGTGTTAAAGAATCAAACAGTGTTCGTCTTTTTTTCTCACATTAAGAGATGAACGACCTCTGAATAAATTACCACAAGGAAGATTACATCAGACAAACGACCAATTGGTCGTTATTTAATCAAATAGGAAACACTTGTGTCTTCTTCTGATGCAATAAAATACTCAAATTTGCCATAGTGATTTTTATCCGGTGGACTTGAAATATGAATGCCTTTAGAATTGCCAAAAATGTTGGAACTACATCCAGTAGACATGGAAATAGAATTTTTAAAAGACCCCATTGTTCTGCAAACTGGGTAAGCTTAATTTATTTTCCATTAACGTTTTTATTTTGATTTTTAAAAATAAAAATTTTCTTCATTTGATTTCTAACATTTGTTTTTTATTTGTTTCAGGTATGTACGACTTTTGCGAAATCTATTATAAAACCCGAAGGTCAAATAGCGTAAAGTTAATTTGCAAAAAGGCTTTGAAGAAAAATTTTCCTTTAATTTTTGAAATTGAAAATAATTAAAATTACAAATTTCAAAATATATTTTCTGCAAATGAGGATTAATTGGTATGTGTAAAATTGTAAATTTAGGATTTTATTTGAAAACATTGAGAATTGGGAAATTAATTCTCTTTTTGGTAAATTTTTTTTAGACGAAAATTGTCATAAATATAGACTTTGTTTATATTGATAATTTAAATTTATTCGTTTAGAAATTTCAATGCTGCCGAGTACTTTGCGATAGCGGGTATTAATTCGTATACACAAAAGATAATGACTAATCTCGCCACTTCATAATTCATAAAGCAATTAGTTCTCTTAAGATTTGGATAAAATTTTTCGATAAATTCATTTTTTTATTGAAAGCAAATTAAATGAAAACTTTGTTATTATTTTATAGGTCAATGAATTTTTCTCCTACTGGCAATATATTTAATCGCACAGCGATAAATTAATTTACATATGAAACATTAATTTTTTTTCTCATTTTTACATTTTTTCTATTCTATTTTCGGTCTTAATTTCAATAACTGCTTCAATTTTCTTCTAATTTAATTCAAATAAAATTCGGAATTTTTTGTTTCGATTAAAAATAAAATTCTACATTTAAACCTTTTTTTGTTTTGATTCAAATAAAATTTAAAGTTTCGATTTTTTTTTTTGTAATTCAAATAAAATCTAACATTGAATTTTTTCGTTTCGATTTTAATTAAATTTAATTTCTTGTTTTGTATCAAATAAAATAGAAAAATTGTAATTGTCTTAAAAGAAATTTACAAAAAATGCTTATTTACAGGAAGGAAAAGATTATTCATTGTTTTTATTCGTAATTAAAAATTAGAATGACTGGTAGTTTTCCTTGAAAGATTAAATGCGAGACTTGACAATTTTCGTCATTATTTCTATTTATTTTTTTCTTCTGAATTTGATAAAAAAAAAAAAAATTACAAAAATTGATCTGAAAGTTAATCTAGTTGGAGTTTACAGAAAATTTCTCATTTGATATAATAAAAGAAAAAAAAGAGATGTAAGAAAAGAATGAAGTGATTCTAAAAAGGAAGAAGAAAATTCAACTGACTTGACCCTCATTTTATAAAATCTTATTTGGAGGGGATAAGTCGCGGTAGTACTTAAAACTGAAGCCTCTCACTTTGAATTCAGTCATTTGCGCTTCTCTTCGACGAGCAGATACAAATCACGTGATTTTAATTTGAGAACTAATTTTCTAATTTCTATATTTTTAGTTCTCATTGCATAATCAAATCAAATTGGTAAAAATAATGTTTACACGATTTTTTAATCTTTTTTTTCTCTCATTAATTTTTACAATAACAATTCTTTTTTTACTATTTCTGTTAAATTCAATAATTATTAAATTAGAATTTTTATTTAATTTGATAATTTTAAATACAAAATTTATGAAATAAAATCCTTTTTCTTTTTTTGAAAAAAGAGTTTAAAAACTAAAAGTTTCTAATTATCAAAAAAATAAATAGACGGAAGAATAATAAATGTAAGATTTTAATATATTTTCTATTTTTCACAGAAAATGCCTGCAGAACTGGAGGAAGTCAAGGGGAAGCGAGCAACTTTTGGAATGGGTTGCTTTTGGGCAGGAGATTCATTATTTGGAGCAACACCTGGTGTAATTCGTACTTGCGTCGGTTATGCTGGTGGTAATAAGGAAAATCCAACTTACAGAAATATGTAAATATACTTTTCTAAACTGCAATTGTAATTAAATTTAAACTGCAATTATTTTCAAGTAAATTCTTTTCTTTATAACAAAAAATTTAATTTTATGAAGAAATGAAATTTTTATGATTCTAAAATGATTTTCCATTAATTTTATTTCCAGCATGGATCACACAGAGGTCATAGACATTGAATATGATCCCGAAATCATCTCATTCAATCAACTTCTTAATTTATTTTGGAATAATCATGAATATGGATTAACTAGAAAAATCAAGACCCAGGTGAATATTGAATTTCTCTTCTGTTTTCATTTTAAAAGAAATTCTTTAAATAATTTTTTAAATATTAATTTAGTACAAAAGACTATGAAATTAAATTACAATAACATAATAATTTATAATTAAGTAACAATAGTAATTTATAATAATTGAGAAAAAATAACAAATTCTTTAAATTATTTTTTGAAGAATAATTTAGTAGAAAAGACTAAGAAATTGAAATTACATTACAGTACCAAATAAATAGTTGATTATTAAGTAGCAATATTATCTTATAATAAATAATTCACTTAAAAAAATAAATAGTCCATAACTTCTGTTAATTGATTAATAATAATAATTCATAATATTAATTAAGCAATAATAACAAATCCTCTGAATAATTTAGTATAAAATACGAAAAAGTTAGAATTAAATAATGAAGTGAAAATTAATACTGTCCATTAGTTACGCAATTGATAATTCAGTCATAATGGAAATTTTAATAATTCAAATACGAAAAAAAGAGAAATTTAATTGTTAGTTTCTTTTTGTGTATTTTATCATAATGCCCGATAAAATTTTATCACCTTTCTAAAATTTTCCTTTTTTTTCTCATATTTGGACATATTTATCATTGCAGTACATGTCATTGATTTTGTACCACGACGAGGAACAGAAGATATCAGCTGAAAAGTCACGAGACCACGAACAAAGAGAGCGTAATGAACAATTGATAACTAAAATTAAGGAATTTCAGAAATTTTATCCAGCCGAAGAGTGAGTATATCTTTTGTTTCCGGATTGATATATTTATTAAATATTTATGAATTGGAAAATATTATCTACTTTGTGATTGTTAAAAATACATATTAATATTTTTTTTCTATGAGATAAAAAAAATTAGAAATTGCGTCGTAAAATAAATTTGCAAACTAAGATATTTTTGGGAAAATAAATACTAGAAGGAAAGATAAATTTTTAGGAATAATAATCGTAAATTTAGTAATTTAATTTATGGTTGTTACTATTTTTGTTTGTAGTTTTTAATAAATTAAATTTCTAAATTTATAATGTATATTTAATTTTTAAACACGTGTTCGGCTCGTGGGATTATAACTATATGTCCAGAGGAGATTATAATCAAATTCAAAGTGTTTGATGAATATTTCTTGTCACTGCTAGATATACTAGAGGAATTATCTAAATTTGACATTGACATATTGCGCCTTCTTTTCCTCGCATATTTAATTTATTCTTGTCAGGTCGTAATAGTAGAGTTGTGGAATGTCAATGACTAATTGAATTTTTTAATTTATAAGAACTTTGCTTCGTTAAAAATTATTATTTTGTAATAATAACATTTTTTTAAATATTTAATACATAATTTTGATAAACATTTTTTTAATTTTCGTAAATTATAAATTGATTAATTAATTTATTTATTTATTCAATCAACACATGAGTGAACCATTTAAAATATATTTTCCTTTTATTTTTTAGCTAATATCAAATTTTTGGGAATTTTTTCAAAAAATTCTAATATTGAGTAAATATTGAAACGATTGTTATATTTAATTATTTAAAATTTATTTTTTTGCAGCTATCATCAAAAATATCGATTACAAGATCATCCTTGGCTACTTGAGACTCTGGGAATCACAAGTTCGGAATCGTTGAGAACTTCTCCTGTTGCGGCAAAACTTAATGGATATCTAGCTGGTGCAGTGTCTTATGAACAATATAAAGAAGATCTACCTCGACTTGGTTTTAGTGAAAAAGTAGCTGAATACGTTGGCAAAATTGTTGTCGAAAAACAAAATACTGGTCTATATTGTTAGCATTTATGTGCAAAAATTATTCATCAAATTTTTAATGTGCGACGAAGTCAAATTGGAAATTTTAGCCTGATTACTTTTTAATTAAAGACAATTTTCTTAGGTACAAATATTCTTTATTATTTTTTTGTCAATTATTTTATTTTATTCAATTATGTTCAATTCACCATCAGTTATCAAATGATGAATTAATTTATATTCCATTTTTAACACTATAATCAATTCTGTATAAATATTTAATTTCTAAACGAAATTTTATAATAGAAAAAACTTTTCTTCAGAAAATCTTTTTAAACTTTTTTTTTTCTTAAAATTACTTTTTATTTGTACTAAATTTCGTCGAAATATTTTTTAAGTAGTTGAGATTGTTTTTTAAACAGAAATGTTTGAATTACAATTAATTTGCAAGTAATTTTATATTTTAGAAATAAAATAAAATTGAATATTTTCTCAATATTTATATCTTGCTGCTCAAAAAGATTAAAAATGATTTATCTGAAAATCTAATGATACTTGAATGGATATGAATGTAATTGATATAAAATGCTTCATTTAGTGACCAAGATAATAGAATTTAGAAATAGGAAAAAAGATAAGATTTGAATCTTTTTTTCATCTTTTATTAAAAAAAAAAATTAACGACCAGAATTGAAGCTAATGTAAATAATAAAAATAATTTTATATTTAATAGTTTGTTTTACTTAAAAAAAATACCCTATTAATATTATTATTTAATTATTCTACAAGTTTTCTAAAATATGTTTTAATTAATAAACATTATAAAATTATTAAAAAATTATAATTCTTGTATTTACAAAAATTGAATATTACTATTTTTAAAGTATTAAAATTATATATTACTTTATTTAAAATTATTATTTAATATTATTAATTAATTAATTGTTTTACAAGTTTTCTAAAATAATTTTTTAATTAATAAACTTTGGAAATTTATTACAAGATAACAATAATTGTCGAATTTGCAAAAATTGAATATTATTTAATTTAAAATTATTATTTAATACTATTCTTTTAAGAATTTTACAAGAATTTAATTATAATAATTGATTATTATTATTATTATTTAATTTATGTTTAATTCTTATTATAGAATTAGAATTGAACAACAATTTTAAATTTTCTTTTTATTATATTGGTAAGCTATGAATTTTTTTGTAACTAGGTTGGTAGCAGTGCTACCGCTAACCGACACTACGTGATCGCACGCAACAGACGTACTCTTTGGAGCTCCTAGATTGTTGTCCATAAATGGTAATATTTTTATTTCTTTTGTCTAAAATAGTGATAAATAATTGTAATAATGTTGCTAGGGACTTGATTGATTAATAAATATGACGTATATGTGTAAGATTCTATTTTAATTCATGAAATTTTTCATCGACAATGGTGACAAGTAAAAGTAAGATGGCTGCCCAATTGTTGCAGGCAGGCAGCCCTGAATCTGCTTTTCGATCTGTTTATTGCAATCGATATAATCTCTCTCGAATTAGTTAAATTATATATTTATTTCTTATTAATAATGAACATTTATTAAATGTATAGTAGATTTAATTCATTTAATTTGTATAAATATTTTATTTAGTAACGATTATATTTTTTTTTGTTCTTATGTTGGTGACCCGTGAAATTTTTTTTTGTAGTGTTTTAGATTGGCAGCAGTGTTGCCTCTACTTCACATCTTGCAAAGTTGGCGAGAAAAGACGTACATCTTCGAGCTCCTCAACTTTCGTTCATAAATGGTAATATTTTTATTTCTTTTTCTCAAAATATTGTCAAATAATTGTAATAATGTTGATCGGAACTTGATTATATTATAAATATGATGTATAAATGTAAGATTCCCCTTAAATTCATGAAATTTGTCATCCGACAATGGTGAGAAGTAAAATCAAGATGGCTGACGATTCTTGCAGCAAAATCAGTTTTTCTATTTTCTTATTGCGATCGAAATAATCTTTCTCACATGATAATTATGTGAAATTTAGTATTGTTTTTATAAATAGTCGTTACTTTTTAAGAATTTTACCCATAAATACTGACTTAAAATATGTGAGTAAAATTGGTAATGCGCAGGCGTCGTATTATTTCTATTGAAAAATTTTTTTTTTTTAAGAATAATTTTTTTAGGTTAGCGGTAAATTATGAAAAAATAAATAATTAAATTGTTTTATTATAACAATTTATACTGATGTTTTAAATTTTCAATAGTTTTTTATTTTTATTTCAGTTTTATACTTTATTTTCCTGTGATTCTAATATTTTTTTCTTAGGTTGGTTAATCGTGAAATTTTTTTGTGTCGTTTCAGGTTGGCTGCAGTGTCGTTAGTATGTTCAGTGTTCTGCAATGAAAAGACAGTTTGTTTCTGAGCTCCTATTTTTCGTCTACAAAAAGGTAAAATTTTTGTTTCTTTTATTGTATTATTGGCAAATAATGATAAAATTGTTGATAGGAAATTGTTATTTTGAATAAATTCGGTGTTCATGTAGGAGATTGAACATCAGTTCATGAAATTGTCCATTTGACGATGGTGAATAATTACAAGGTGCGGCTGCAACATTGTTGCGCCAAAATCAGTTTTTTAATTGTAAATACAGTCTAAATAATCTTTCTTTTAAAATAATTATTCGATATTTTGTTTATATTTTCGATACAGATTCGAAATTTTCGAGAAAATTTTATCGGAAATTGAGAATTTATTGGAAATATATATTGGAAAAATGTAATGAAAATCTAGGTGTAAGACTGGTAGTATTGTACAGGCGTTGTAACATTTTCGTTAAAAATGTTTTTTTTGGTTGCATACAGCGATCGAAATAACTTTTATTTTTATGAATCGTGTGTTTAGGTTTCCAAAAGTGAAATATTTTGATAGGGCCATTTTTATTGCATAAATAAATTCAATAGAATATCACAAAGCGCTTGGTGGTATTTTAAACAAGTGCTTGAAACGGATTTTTCAGTACATAATATAATTATTTCTGTCATGTTTTTATAAAATTGAATTACTTTGAACAAATTGTACAATATTAATTAATAATTTGAGTCTTTTTTAAATTGTCAATTGCTATTCAACTAATTTAAAATCTAAACAAATTTGTGATTTGAAAATAATTTTTATTGGTAATTTTTCTTCCTTTTTATTAATTTTTTAATTAAAAAAGAATTGTCTTCTTGATTTGAACCAAGTAGATGAGATATACGTAAAATTTCTTACATCTCTTACCAACTTTACATGCATTAAGTGCTATTCATACGGTTTACATGAGTACACAGTTTTATACTGTATACATATATATACTTATTTACATTTTAGGTTAGGTTTTAAATGACGTTCTTGACGTTTATTTATTTTCGACATTTTCCCGTAAACAAAAAGCATTTAGTAGTATTTTAAAAACCTTTTAAACTTAAATAAATTAAAACTGTATTTAAACCAAAAATCCAAAAGATATAAATTCAAAAAATTTGTTATCTTATATAACAAAAGAAAGAAAAAATTCCCAAAGAAAATAAAAGGAAGATAAAACAATAGAGATTATGATAATTCGCAAATTCTTTCAAATGTATAGTAAAGTTGAAAATATTGAGTGAGTTTTTATCTCATTCAGTAATAGTGAATGTTTATTAAATAAATTTAAAGTGTGTCCTTGAATTTATATCTTCAGTGATTACAAAACAATACACGATTTTTTTTTCATAAAACACCGATGATTTTTTAAATTCAGAATTTAAAGATTAAATTGTTTTATCTCAAGAAGAAAAAGTGATATATTGTGACATTTTCTATAAATAAAATTATTAAAAGAAGCATCTGTTTATGGAAATTGAATTAAAATCAAAGGTAAGTGGAAATTTATTAACTTAGTGAATTTTTAGGTTAAAAATAAAAATGTTAGTATCTAATAGTTTTATATATAATTAACCGGCATAATTTATTTAATCCAACATTTATAGGACAGCTATGAATTATTCTCAAGAATCGCATTCAAATTCTCTTGACAGTAGTAGTGATAATCGAGTCGTTAAAAGTATATTATCACAGAAAATTTTTGTCGGTGAATATGTTTCAAGACGTTATGTGGAGAGTTTACAAGATTACAGGTAATTGGATAATATTTATTAAAATTTGGTTAAATTTGTGATTTTAATTTGAAATAATTTACGAATGTCAGAAATTTAATTAAAAATTAAAAATATGATCCTCAAAGTTCTGAACGCTGAAAAGAACGAAATTTATTTCTTTTTTCTTAAAATTAAATTTATATTTCAATAATTTTACAAAAAATGATAATTTTACAACTATAAAAAAATTAACTATAAAGTCTTCAAATGTAATATTTAAGATTTTAATTTTTATTTCAATCAGTAATTTATAGAAATATTTTTAATAAAATAATATTCGTTCATTTGAACGTTCTAAACTTGTGGATCATTTAAAAATATAATTTTTTGCAGGGATATTGTTATATGCAGAGACAGTGAAAAAGAGGTAACACGTTTTGTTCAACAAATTCAAAAGCAAATTATTGCTGAATATGGAGACAAAAAATGGATTGGGATTACAGGTAAAATTCATTATTTAAAATTAAATTAAATTTATTATTTAAAATTAAATCACATTTATTCTTGAAAATTAAACTAAATTTATTACTTCATATTAAATTAAATCAATTATTTAAAATTAAATTTAAAATTGGAAACAATATTTTTAAAGTCAGATTTACATTATTTAAATTTTTTACTTTTTTTAGAGAATACCGAAACAGACGATTTGTCTGGATATGCTTTTTGGTGCACACTTGAAAAACTGCCATTCGGAAAACATTGGTTTCAAATTCGTTCGTTAAAAATTAAAGACAAAGAAGTATTTTTACAATTAAAATACCTTCGACCTTTTCAATCGGATGAACAAAAGAAAATGAACGTTGAGGATTTTATAACTCCAAATTTAAAAGAGGTTCCTTTTATAAACTAATTTTTTTTAATAATTTTTATTATAATAATTTTAAAAAATTCTTAGAACTGCATTTTTCACTGAAAGAAAAATGTATTTGTTTCAAATAACAGATTACTTGTCTATTATCAAATAAATATTTATACTTGAATGAAATAATTCTAATTAAAATCATTAAATTAAATTAAATTAATTAAAATCAAATGCCATTAAATGGCATTTGCTTCAAATACTGGAATTATTGGTTCAAACAAAATTTATTTGAATTGAATAAAAATTATTCGATTCAAGTAAATATTTATTTGATAATAGGCAAGTAATCGGTTATTTGAATCAAATAAATTTTTTTTCAAGTGTATTTATTATTTAATTGTAATTTGTTCTTATTTATTGTTTAATTGATTCTTAGTGATATTAATTATTGATATTTAATTCTACTTTGTTTTAGATATGTACCTTTGAAAATTTGTGTGAAGCTTCAAAATTCAGTATGGTGCTCATTCTTACAATTACAACGTGTTTAATAAAAGGCGGTGCTTTTCTTCTTGACTTTTTGGTGAAAATTATTCACGAATTATCATTTTTAGTCCAATCACTAACACCAATTGTCCTTGCAATGATTAATACAGTAGCAAAATGTATTGGAGGATTTTATTGGTTACTGTTTATGCTCTGGAAGGGAGAACCACAACGACCAGCACCAATCTATGGAAATCGTCTTGCTCTAATGAGCCCTCCAGGACTTGATAATCCCGAAAATTCTTTTTATAGAGGAAATAGAAAATCGTGGAATAGTCCAAGAGGAAGAAGAATTTATTAAAACGCATTTTTTTTTATTCTTTTTCTCTCAAAAAAGAAAATGTATTTCTAAACCAAATTTAAGTAAGTTGCATACTTAAATATTTAAAATATTTTCCTAATCAAAAACAAAAATATTATTTAATAATATATTTATTTCTTTTTGTTAAAATTGTTGCAATCTTAAAAAAATTTAGATTTTTTTCATTGCCATGATGAATGATTAAAAATCGTTGGAGTTAAAACAAAGTCAAATGCAGTTCAAACTGTTTTAGAATGTGATTAAAAAATTTTATATAAAACAAAGTAGGTTTTTTATAAAATGTATAAATTTAGATTATAGTTTTGTAAATATCGAGTAAGGTGTATTTTACAACTAAAATAAATTAGTGTTCTGAAATAGGATTTGTTTCTTTACCGAAATACCAACTATGGAAATGATCCACAAGTTTTCAATGTTCAAATGACGAAACATTTATCATTAAAGTTTAAACAAATGTTTATTACAGCAAAAATTAAACTCTAAATTTGAATTAGTAAAAATGGTCACTAATTAGTGACTAACTTTTTACTTATGAATTAGTAAATTTTATTAATAAATATAAAGAGAAAAGAATTCAATTATTTTTTTTTAAATTGATATAATTTATCTAAAATTCAATTATTTTTATAAATTATAAAATTTCCACAGGAATTCAATTAATTTAGAATACCATTTTTATAAAAATTAAAAAAAAATAAATTATTTAACAACATTTTTATACAATTCTTTACAATAATTCAATTACTTTCACTAATAATAAGATTTTTCATGGAAATTCAATTTTTTATAAAAATTTTTGATAAAATTCTTATGAAGAATTCAATTATTTTCAAAAATTACAAAATTTTTGAACAGAAATTCAATTCTTTTTAAACATTTTTATAAAATTTTTCCCAATAATTCAATTATTTTCAAAAATAATAAAATTCTTCTCAGGAATTTAATTATTTTTGAAAATTTTAATTAAATTCTTAGCAACTACTCAATTATTTTCATAAATATTAATTTTACACGAATTGCTCAAAAAATGTAATTATTCTTAAAAATTTAATTTCAATTCCTCGAAAAAATCAATTATTTAAAAAAATGTTTTTTTAAGAATTCTTTGGAAGAATTCAATTATTTACAAAAATATTAGAATTTTCACAGGAATTCAATTATTTTCAAATATTTTAATAAAATCGTAGGAAATAAATCAATTATTTTAAATACAATTTTAATTAACTTTTTTTGAAATAATTCAATTATTCTTTTAGATTTTAATAAAAATTTTCCCAAGAATTCAATTATTTACAGAAATAATTCTTCGAAAGATTATTAAAATTATTTTGAGGCATTTTAATAAAATTCTTTGCAAAATTTAATTATTTTAAAAAATTGTAATAAAATCGTTCGCAAGAATTCATTTATTTTCATAAATAATAAAAATTTCTCAGGAATTCAATTATGTATTTAAATTAAAATTTGCAAAAAATTAGTCGTAAGAAATTAATTATTTATAAAAATTATTGTTATAAAATTCTTCGCAAGAATTCAATTATTTTTATAAATATTTAAATTCTTTCATGAATAATAAAATTTGTTGCAGGAATTCAATTTATTAGCAGGATAAGAAAAAAGTAAATATTTTTGATGAAAATTAGGAAAAAGTCAGGAAAATAAAATACCTAAATACTATTTATATTTATTAGCAAAGTTTATTAATTCAAAAACAAAAAGCCAGTCACTATTTCAAAATAGTAAACATTTGTACTAATTTAAATTTAGAGAGAAAACTTAAGTTTAACATTTAGTAATAAATAATAATATTAATATACTAATTAACATTAATATTTAAAAACTTTATAATTTATTTTTTGAATATTACTGAAATAAATATTAAATTTAAAGAAGAAAATAAATAAATTTCGTTCATTTGAACGTTTGGAACTTTAGGAATGTAAATGGAAAAAATATAATTTAGAGTGGTAGAAAAATTCTTGACCTCGTGAAAGTAGTAAGACTTTGTGGTCAGTATTATAAAAAATAATTACATACTAGGAATTACAATGAATAAGAAGGAATGATTTATTTTTTACAACCACTGCCTTAGAACTAGACTTCTGATTAGTTACATTTATAATTATACAACAATTTGTAAGTAGATTATTTAGAGTTTTGAATTTTTATCAGTTTTAAGTCAGTTTTTGGTGATGCCGATAACACCACAGGCCAAACGAGCACCAGCGTTACCAGTGGTTTTTGATAATTCGTGTCCACCTTTGCCCAAATCGTCAGGGTCACCGTGAACCTATTTTTGAAAAAAGGAATTATATGATGAAAATAAAATTATTTTTAATTTCTTTTTAATTAAAAGTTCACCCAGAAAAAAGATATATTTGACTTAGAGTCGCCTAGACTTTTTATTTGTTTTTAATAAAAATTTCATTTGTGTCGAATAAAATTTTTATTTAAAACAAGTAAATAATTTAATAGATTCTGAGACAAATATACATTTAATTCACTGAAATAAATTATATTTGGTTTAATAAAATTTTTCTCTGGGTGCTAAAATCTCGAAATTTTATATTTTATTATATTATTTATTTCTTTGTTTACTATTATATTATCTAGTTATTATATTTCATTACTATATTGCTTTATATTTTATTATTCAAAAATTTTATCTTTTTTCTATGAAATCTAGAAATTAGAGTAAATAATTTAACATTTCTTTCAACTTACAACGAGAGTTCTTCCAATTATATTATTATTTCCCTTGAGTTGAATTTGTTTATCGGATATGTTGACTTTTGCAACACCATCACTGCCTGCTTCTACATTTCCCAAGTCGCCAATGTGACGAACAGAATCAGTTGGTCCACCATGTTCCACTCCAGACGGATTAAAATGTGGTCCAGCACTCGTGCAACCTAAAAATTACAATTTTGTTTTTATTATTTTCTGTTTACTATTAATTTTTCTTAAAAGAAAATTAATTTTTATATTCTCATTTTTTTATATTAAGTGAAGTTCAATGTTTCCTTTCGTTTATTTGTTCCCACTTTTAGTCAAATTTAACAATTAATTAATTAATTGTTCCTTTATTTCATTTTGTTAAAAAATTCTCGCAAATAATATTAACAATGAGAGCATGAATATATCACATATTAAGCGTCAAAGTTCAATTGTTATGAAACATTCTCAACATTAACGAGTACATTTGTATTCTCGTGAATATATTTTCAAGAGAAAAATAATTGTGCAAATAATTTGATAAGATAAAGTGAAAGAAATCATCTCACCATTGGTATTATCACCAAATTCGTGAATATGAAAACCGTGCAATCCTTTTTTTAATCCTGTAACTTCACCGGTGACCTTGACAGAGTCTCCCTGCGAAATAGATTTTTCATGAATGTAATATTAGTGATTTTTTTCAATAAAATTGGAATATTAATTTTGTGAAATATAAAACTTACGGCTTCTTCAAAAAATACGGTTCCTTTGACCTCTCCTTGCAAAACACAAACTGCTTTAATCGCCATTTTTTGGGGAAAAAAAAGAAATATTCCTTTAAAAAGTAAACTGATAGACGGTAGGAAACTGGTTAGACTGTCGCCTACGTATTCAGTGTAATGGCAAGAAATTGATGATTATGCTGAGTCACCAATTGCAAATTAAATGTAAAAATGTACTTTACACTTGCGTTAAATAATTGGAATATTCTTGTTGCACACCGGCTTCTTGCACACGACACAGAAACTGCGCAGCAGTCGTTGAATAAGTAGTGGGGGAGAAAAATAGTAACGGAAATGGGGAATTTTTACAGTGTTGCCAATAAAGGGTAATGAAAAATTTTAGATTATATAGAAATTTTCATTTCTAACAGCATTGTTTTTATGAAAATTTAAATTTAGTTTTGATTTTAATTTTATTTAAAAGTACCTTTTATTTATAGATAAGAGGCATTTTTAAAATTAAAGATTTAAAGATTTGAAATTAAAGATTTACAAATCGTTAAATCAATACAAATTAAAATTACGAATAAATTATATAAGTATTTATAAGACCATAATTTTCAAATTTTAAATTAAATAATTTATAAATAAACTTGTTAATCACGCGATGAAGATTATAATTTTTAATTTTATATAATTGACAATAAAGATGATAATTATGATTAAGATTGTTATTTTTTATTGACTTTACAACTATTAATAATATCATGATTGTTGATGAAAAATATTTACATTTAATGACAATTGTTCATAGCACATAATTGTTACAACTGACGTTCGTTTTATTCACTTTACAATTATTAAAATAATTACAACTGACGTTCTTTTTATTGATTTTACAATTATTAATAATATTATAATTGTCAATGAAAAATATTTACATTTAATGAAAATTATTGTTCATTACACATAATTGTTACTGACGTTCTAATAATTGTAATGTTGCTAAACTGCAAATTACCAGATTATAATCATTGAATTTTTATTTAACAAAATCATTATTTATATTTTTATTAATAACTGTAATATACAATTGCTGGTAAAGTTGTCTTTGAAATTGATTATTGTTCATAAGTTTGAAGAAAAAATAATATTTATTGATTTTTTTTTGTTTTCAGATAAAGCGCATGATAACTTTTTGGAAATTCGAGGCTTTTTGGAAAAGAAAATTCAGACAAAATTTAGATGGAAAATTGTGTCAATTGAAACAAGGAAATGTGGGTGAGTCAATAATTTATTATTTAAAATTATCTTTATATCGTTTTCGTTGTCCTGGTTACTGTCCATTTTTATTTTTACAATTACAGAAAAAAATTATTTCGTTAAATCTGTTTCACAGTGAGAAAAACAATTTTTATTTGTTTTAAATAAAATTATTTGACTTAATAAGTAAATATTTATTTGATAATAGACAAGTAATCGGCTATATTTGAATCAAATAATTTTTTTTTCATATTAATAATTTCATTTCACGTAATTAATAATTATTATTTTGTTACTGATTCCTAATTAAAATTTATTTGAAATTAAATAATTTCAAATACAACATTTGAAAATTAATTTACAATGCTGTATAAAAAATATCGATTTTGTTTTATTCTATAAAATTTGTAAATGAACACTCGAAAATATTTTATTGTAAAAATTGATAGCAATAACTAGGACAGTGATGATTTAGTAAAATAATAAAAATATTATATTTGGGTAATTGGCAAAGAAACAACGAAAACAATGAAGAGTTGATATTAAAATTATAGTTCTTATTACTATAAAAAGCGATAAATAAAGGTTTTATACTATTTATTAATGAATATTAAGGCAACGAAAATAAAAAAAAGTGTGCGATGGCCGGGAATCGAACCCGGATCAACTGCTTGGAAGGCAACTATGCTGACCATTACACCACCATCGCACATGCATGGTTCTCTGAAATAACTCTTGGAGAATGAAACTCTCAACCCTATTCAATTAAAGTTCATTATAATAATTATTTATTTCGATTCTATTAATTTTATAACAAATTTTATTTTAATTTTTTTATTTGTCTCTCATTACGTGACAATTTTTCTTTAGACGAAACTTAAAAAAAGGCATTAAATAATTTGGTTTAATAATATTGTTAAATAAGATAGTAAATGAAATATATTTTTGAATTTTTTATTTAAATACTAATTTAAATTAGTGATTGATTTTTTGCTTTTGAATTGGTAAATTTTACTAATAAATATAGTAATTTCCATTATATTTATTAGTAAACTTTTTTAAATTTAAAGCCAATTATGTTACTATTAAAGTTGTAGAAATTACTAATAGTAATTTAATAGTAATTTCTATTAATTGCTTCCTCATAAAGGAAGCTTTGTATTAGCAAAAATTTGGACTGTCATTTTTTGACATATTTATAAATTTTTTTTTATTATGCCTAATACTTTAGTACTTTATATATGCACAGGAACTCTCCGTATAAATGTTCTAAATAAATAAAAAAAAATTTCGACGTATTTTGAACTCCAAAGTCCAAAAAACGGATTTTAAAAATTTGTCCTGATGTGTGTGTGTGTACGTGTACTAACATTACATTTGCCTCAATATCTCAGAACAAGAAAGAGCAAAAGGCCCAAATTTTTTCTTAAATTGTAGGTCTCCCCGGGGGACATAAAATGAGAGTATTTTCAGCCCGATTCATGAAGTTAAACTATTTTTTTTGCATTTTTCATTTTGTAAAAAAACGTTTTTTGGACATAATTTAAAAAAATGTTAGGACACTTATAAATGTTTTTCTTTAGTTTTGTAGAGTTTTTTCACACGCATCTTTTGAGCCCTAATTGAATATTTTTCGTTCATATTAACCGGAAATATTAAACTTTAAAAAATCAAAAATTTTAGAAAATAAGACTTTTTTGAAAATGTTGTTGAAAAATGTAGAAGTTTAGTTTTGTTTTGTATTTAGTTTTGTAGAGTTTTTTCAGACGCATCTTTTGAGCCCTAATTGAACATTTTTCGTCCATATTAGCCGGAGATATTAAACTTTTAAAAATCTAAAATTTTGAAAAATAAGACTTTTATAAAAATTTTTTTTAATTATGTAAAAGTAACTTCAAAAAATTATTACCAACTTGAAGAGCATTAAAAAACGCTTCGATTGACCTATTTTTTAACCTGATTCGGGCAGAAATTATGAAATTATTGGTATTTGAAAAATCAAAAATTCTGGAAAATATCATTTTTTCAACATTCTTGTTTATTAACTTATGTGTAATTATTAAACTATTATTACCATCTTATAGAATATATAAAAACACATTTTTTGGGCCAAGATTTAATGATTTTTAACCCTTTTATAAAAAGTAATTCTTATATTTCAATTATTATTATTTCTATGAGGAAGCAAAGTGTTCATGAAATGAACACCAAAATTATAAAAATGTACAACTTGGCAGCGGTTTTTTGTATTAAAATTTATTAATAATTATTATTTTACTATTTAAGTGGTTGCTAATAGTAATTTCTACTAATTTATCAGTAAAATTTATTAATTTAAAAGTTAATTATTTTACTTATAAATTAGTAGAAATTACTAGTCATTATAGTAAAATTTACTAATTCAATACCAGAAAGACAGTCACTAATTCAAATTATATATAGTAATTATTTTTACTTAATCAATTTTAGAGAGTAAATAAAAAAATACATTTCTATTTGTCAATAACTCTTCTAATTCTCTTCTCTAATTCTATTTTTTTAATTAACATATTCGTTTTATTAATTAATTTATTTTCTTTTATAAAGTAATTAACACTATTTTGTATATTTTATAATTTATTCTTATATAAAAATATTATTTAATCATATTTAAAAATATGGTTTATCATGGAGTGACATGAAAATTATGCTTCTTCGTATTCGACGTTGAAAAATAAATTAGATATATAGTCGATAAAAAAAGTTTTGCTCAAAGTTATATATAGTATTTTTTTCTGCAATATATTGAATATATATACGACAAAGAACACAAAGAAATGAAATGTAAAAATTCAAATTATCCATTTTACATCAAAGAGATGAAAATATTCACGATACATACACGCAAGTAAAACATAAAAATAAGTTTTTTAAGAAAAAAGAAACTCTTTCAACAGACATCAACGCGATAATTCATGCATCTCAATTATTATATCGATGTTCCCTTTGAGAATTGATCAATTTTAAATTTGATTCTCTTCTCCTTTTATTTAATTTCTTCCCCATTTTATATGTTATAACATACATATATATAAGAAGGGGAAGAAAATAATTAGATAAATCTGATGGAAGCGTCTATTAGAATAATCTAAAAGTGGTTAAGACACAATAAAATTGTAGTTTCGGCAAGAGAGTTGTGTTTTTTTTTTGCATGATTTTAAATTTGTATGATATTTTATCCCCGAGGCAGAGAATTATTGTGAGGCATTAAAACGCCGATATTTTGAAATCGAGCGGTTTTTTCGGTCGCAATTACCGCTCTACCATCGAACGCTCTTGTCCATCCATCCGTCCGTCCGTCCGATCGTCTCTTTTTGTGCCGCGCATGGCAGAAAGAGAGCCTCTATCAGTCAAATTACAACCTGACAAACTGACACGTAAATTGCCCCACGACTTTCCTATATACAACGAACCGGAATAGCTTCAACAAAGGACCTAACAGCATTAAGTGTATCAATCGTTTTACGTCCTTCGATAATTCAGAGAATCTTGTACATTATGTCCAACCGAGATCAGAAATTAACTTTCTTTGTGTGTACACAGTAAAAAATATTGTCTTAGGTTCTTTTTTTTTAGAGGGTTTGGATTTTGTTCTTTTTGGGCAAAATATAATATGGTAGTAGGCTTTATGGTAGAAAAAAAAATGGTCATTGGTCACACAATGGTTTTAGTTTTATGTAAATATATAAATTTTTTTTAAATCACTGTTTTCTTGATGTTAACAGATTTTGATACCAAATTCGATCAAATTGATATAACAAAAATAAAATTTTTTAAATTTTTATTATGAAATTATATTTAAAAATAGAAAATTTTGTAATTTGCATAACAATAATCAATTGAATATCACATTCCGCTCGCTAGCGCGCCTAACATATTTGCTAGTAATATAAACTTACAGTATACCAGTTGCAAATTATAGAAAAAAATTTTAAAAAACCGAATTTATAGTGTAAGAAGTAAAAAAGTGGCTTTTTCGCCCCCACTCTACTCTATAATTTTTAAATTTATTTTCTAATTTTTTGTTTAATTTTTTCAGGTCAAGAACAGTATATATTCCAGAGTTGCATAGTAGGCTCATAATCATCGTTTTTCCAGAATCGGAAGGAAGATCTGCATAATTTCACAGATGTCGAAAAGAAAAGGGGTAAGTTTTTCTCTTAATTAATATTCTACATTTATTTATCAATATTATTTGATTCAAATAAATTTCTATTGGTTGAAATAAAAATTTTATTGTCATACCCAAAAAAGAAATATATTTGTGCCAAATAAATTTTTTGGTTGAAACAAATAAAAATGTTAAAATACTGTGAGACAAGGACACGTTTATTTAACTCAAACACTGTAAAAACAAAGTCTTAAAGTACTTACAGCTTAAACGTGTTTTTTTCTTTCAATTCAACTCATTTTTGTGCTTATTAAAATAAAAATAAGACAAATTTTTATGTCTTAAAATCAGTTTTCTAATCAGAAAGTTATGGTCAAGATTTGAACTATTATAGATCAAATATTGACTAACTTTCTGATTATAGAAAACTAAAAATTTAAGTTGTTTTAGTTAAAATCAGGCTTAAAACAAGACTTATTATTTACAGTGAATATATTTAATTCAAATAAAACATTTTTATATGGGTGTAGAGTATAATATTCCTCAAAAAGGTAGAAAATTCTTGCTAAGTGATAATTGAAATTGTATTCAAAGAGAGAATCACTGAAAATGAGTGAAATTTTATTGATTCAGCATTTAGAAAGTGAATTTTTTAAATCACTGTTGTTAACACGTGAAGTGAAATCCTATACTAATACACTTTGACAGAGTGAAGAAGGTGATGATCAAACTGGCAATCCGCGAAACGATTAACAGTTTAATTTCCCAATGTAATTATCACGTGGCCAGATGAATGACGGACAGCTTCTCACGGAAGCTTGCCAAATTTCAACTTATGTATACATGTATGTATACACCCAACAAAAGAATGGAACACGAAAAAAACGCGATTAGTACGATTCTGGTATCCGTACCAAGAAGATCGTGATAGTTGCGGTTATTCGTTAATTTTCCGTTCTTTAAATGAAAATTTTATTTATATAACGTCATCTGAATCTATAATAAAAAAATTTATTTGATTCAAATAATCGATTACTTGTCTATTATGAAGTAAATATTTACTTGAATCAAACAATTCTATAATTAAATAATTAAATATGCAAATACCGCATTTAGTGCACTAAATGGTATTATTTGCTTCAAATACTGAAATTATTGGTTCAAATACAATTTATTTGGCTTGAATATAAAAATTATTTGATTCAAGTATAAATATTCATTTGATAATAGACAACTAATCGGTTATTTGAATCGAAATAGTATAACATTTTTTTCAGTGTTTTTATTCTAAAGAATCTGATCTTTTCAGATGTTTTCAGTATTTCTTATATAGAGAGGAATTTTATTCGAATCAAATAAAAATTTGAGTTAAATAAAAGTATATTTGTCTCAGAGCCTATTAAATTATTTATTTGTTTTAAATAAACATCTGTGCGATAGCGAATAAGGATATTATAATTCGAAAAGTCAGTAAAGTATATGTCCTTATGATATGAGCGGGTACATATAATTTTAAAAGTGTTTTCAAATACAATACCAACTACTGTTTTCATTTAAAAAAATGGAAAAATTTGAAAAAAATTGCCTAATTCCACAAACAAAACTTTTGTTATTTCACAGTCTTTTACGTAGTCCTCTAATCTATCCCAACCTTTTGCGTACAAAATTTACATTTCCTTTTTTCGTCATCCAGCCAATATTTCCTATAATTTTCTAAATTTCCGCATCTTATTTTCGCAATTAGGCTTAAACCTTCAAGAATGAATTTTATAATATTATTTAATTATTACAAAAGTTTTTACGTAATTATCTTGATAAATAACAAAATTCTCCACAGACATTCAATTATTTTTAGGAATTTTAATAAAATTCTTTGCAAAATTCAATTATTTTCATAAATAACAATATTCATCACAAGAATTCAATTATTTTTAAAAGTAATAAAATTCTACGAAGAAATTCAATTATTTTTTAAAAATTTTAACGAATATCTCGTCAATAATTCAGTTATTATCTTTACAAATAGCAAAATTTTTCGTCAAAAATTATAAGAGACTATATAGTCCGACTAAAAAATATTGATTTTTGTAGATTTTACATTAAATTTACGAAAGAATGTTTTTTTTTAACTTTTTAGAAACATACACCCAGAGAAATGGTATATTTGTCTCAGAACCAACTAGACTTTTTATTTGTTTAAAATAAATTTTATTTGGTTTAAATAAAATTTTATTTATCTCAAATATATGATTTATTTATGTCGAATAAAATTTTTATTTAAAAGAAATAAAAAGTCTAGTTGGTTCTGAGACAAATATACGTTTATTTAACTCAAATAAAATATATTTGGTTTAAATAATATTTTTCTCTGGGTGTAGGAAGTTTGAGGGCTTTGAAAAATGGTTTAATATTATTATTTAAAACATTCAAATATATGGATTTTTTCGTCTTTTTGTCTACTTTAATCCCAATGATATAGTCGGAAAAGAAAAATTGAATTCCCTTTTTTTAAAAGCCTTATCAAAAAGGCCTTTCGGAACGTCCTTCTATGGCAGGATGGGCGCTTGGACGTTCTATCATTAATGACACCGTCATCATAATCATCAGTTGTCAGCCTATCTTACAACTGTGTTAGTATAACTGCAATAATAAGCGACAATATAATTTAATTTTTTCTTATTTCATCCGATAATATTCACTTTTATCGCACAAGATTATTACTCTCGATATAAAGAGAATTTTTATCGCTCCAATAGATACAATTATTCACACAAGTAAGAAAATAAAGTGTTTTTCTCTGAATTCTCCATTTTTTTCCGTATGAAATACGTGGAAATGTAAATGCAGGCAAAAGTTGACGACAGCGACACTGTTGGCTATATATGTATAGATATGAAGTGTATAATATATTTGTATATATGTAGAGTAGAAATATGTTGTCGCGTGGGAGGAATATAACAGTGGTCGTTGTTATGATCCTGTCGGGGCGGAGTCGACAAGCACCAACCAGCATACTCCACTGTATATTTGTGCCACCACCAAGCATCGAACATATTATCACTAAACACTGGCTGTTGCCACCGCTGCCATGGTCGGGAACCAGGTTCACGTGTTAAAGAACGACACTACACATTGCTCTGTAGATCGCCGCCATCATGATTTACGAATATGCATTTTTCTCTCTTTCAAGTACAATTGCATTGTTGCAAAACAATGACAATGTTGATTTCATAAAATGCAAAAGTGTATTTATAAGTATGTAGTCTTGATAGATTTATTATTGTTATTAATATATATGCGTCCCTTTCGAATTAGTTGAAGATAAAAGCTCTTCATGTCTAGTTAGATTGTAACTGTCAACGGAATGTTCTATAAAAGTTGGATCCATTTGGAGATGAGGCAAAGAGGGAATAAAATTTAGAGATTTGAATTTATTTTGCTTCCGTGCATTAACTTCTTGATCAAATGTTTATTGCGACCTAACTCACGAGGGAGTTAATATGACTCATTAATTATTATGATTAAATCATTTCTGAAGTTGATTTTTAACTCTTTACTCCCACATAGCATCGAAACTTTTCTAAAAGTTGAAATTATCGACTGCAATGTTCGAAATCTTTAGTTATATGACTTATGAGACTACTCTTTGAAATTGAAGTAATTCTTTAAATTTCGAATGTTTTTCAAGATTTGACGCGAAAGTTGACTGAACATTATTGCATGAAAGTTTAAAATTTTTTCAACTCTCATGCAATGTTTAGTCAACTTTTACGTCAAACATTGAATAACATGAAATTTTTGGGTACAAAATTTTAAGTTGTGGAACGTATTGTGTGAGATATATATAGTCTTTGATAGTTTTCGGATTATTCTTCTCTACATTAACATTGTAAAAACAAAGTCTTAAAGTATATATTTACAGCTCAAACGCGTGTTATTTCTTAAATTTAAATCATTTTTGGGCTTAAAATAAAAAAAAGATAATTTTAGGTCTTAAAATGAGTCTCGTGTAATTTGAAGTTACTCTCAAGGCTAAAATTTAGTCAAAATTGCTTTTAATTTAACGATTTTAGTCAACAATTTACTGAAAGATTTATTTTTCACAGTGCCAGTAAAAAATTACTGAGAAATAGAAAGAGTATGGTATTATAGGTTTTTTCAGCGTCTATATACTCTCTAAATTTGAATCAGTTAAAAATAACTGATTTAGAAGCAAAAAGTCAGTCACTAATTCAAATAGTAATATTTCTACTGACATTTAGTTAAGAATAACTGACTGGCAGTTAAAAGTAACTGATTTTTCAGCAAAGTTTTGTAACTGATGCATTTAGTCAAGTTTAACAAATTTTTCAGTTACCCACACAGGACCAAAACTTTCCTGAAAATTTATTAAAGATTTACTTGCAAACTTCGAAAAATTTACTTGCAAAGTTTAGTGGAAATTGTGTAAAGATTCAAATGTCCCACTTATAAATAAATGTTTATAGTCAAATTTTCCTAAAAATTTAACTTAAAACTTTCCTGAACATTTAAATTAAATTTTCGACTTCTCTCTTATAAGCGAAAATGTAACTTAAAACTTTCCTGAAAATTTAAATTAAATTTTCGCCTATATACAGTAGGCGAAATTTTCTTTTAAATTTTCAGGAAAGTTTCACGCTAAACATTTATTGAAGTGGGACATTTAAATCTTTACAAAATTTTCACTAAACTTTTCAAGTAAATACTTCGAAGTTTGCAAGTAAATCTTTAATAAATTTTTAGGAAAATTTCGGTGCTGTGTGGGTATTTATTTATTGAAAATGAATTATTTTTAACTGATTCAGAAGTAAAAAGGCAGTCACTGCGATTGTAAATTAAAACTATGATTTTTAACTGATTCGAATTTTTAGAGAGTGTGAAATATATTCTGTACTATATTAATCTCAAGTATTAGGCATATAGTATTTGCTTCAACTGAAATTTATTGGTTCAGATACAATTCAGTTGATTTAAATAAAACTTATTTGACTCAAGTAAATATTTATTTGATAATT